GTTCTGTGTCTAAATCCAACAGTTTTTCAGATTAAAAACACTCACAAAAAGCTTACTGATTATCATGATAAGATCATAGTAATGTTTTCTGCTCATCATAGTGTTTTCCATAAAGCACATCAGTGTTCATTTGTTTCTCAGAAACATCTATTATATGACTGTGTTTGTGTGTGTGTCAAGACAACATTGTTTTAAAAGCAGTATTTGCTTTGGCGAGACATTAATGGAGTACTGGGGTTTTGTGTGTAAGTTTTTGGATTTGTGTTTAGAGTTTTAATGATGAGCTTGATGATTTAATGAGCCGTGCTTTCAGAAAACACGCAGGTTTGTACATTTATTTTTTGAAGCCACACGAGTGGTTTGCCAGTGTTTACTTAGAGCCTACTGTGCAAAAGGTTTTGTGGTAAATCTTATTATGAGATAATTTTTAACCAAGATAGCTTAGTTACATAGATTATTTGCCTAGACACATGAAGCCCACGCATAAAAGTGGGGCTGTATCCTGCATTTTGAATTTAGCACAGTCTAATATAAACCCACAACCGTCAGAAAACTGCGATATTTCATCAGAATTTCTACATCATCTAATCCATCTAGGGACGGCTGTGGCTCGGGAGGTAGAGTGGGTTGCCCGTTAATGTCAAAGTGTCCTTGGGCAAGATACTGAACCCTGAATTGGCTATTCCACCAGTATGAATGTGTGTGCTCAGTGTATGAATGTGTGTGAATGGTGAATGTGATGTAGTGTAAAAGCGCTTTGAGCGGTCGAAAAGACTAGAAAGGCGCTATACAAATACAGAGCATTTACATTTACTGAAAGTCAGTGTAAGAAGTTATAGAAATACAAAAAAGTTCAGTCACTCTGAGGTAGGAGTTCTTTTAGTCTTAGTTTAATTTTCAGCAACATCCTTGGTGTGATTCTTGCACTCCAAGGAATGCTGTTCTGCAGCTGTGCAATGATACACAAACTGTTGCTGTAAAGGTTCAGTGTGTAAGTTTTAGTGGCATCTAGTGGTGAGCGTTACGAATTGCAACCAGTGGCTCACAGTGCATTCACATGCTCCTCGGATGGTCCCATTTCCCAAGTTGTGAAGTCATTCTTCCGACTTCAGGGTGTGTTCACGTGCTCTTAAGTCTGAATGTGGAATCAACATGGACGCTATTTCAAAGATGTGTTGGATTAGCATTTTCAGAACGTATGAACAACACACAGACACAGACATCTAGTTCACTCCACATGGACGGTAAACTAAACGTTATAACCATATTGCAAATTACATGTTTGCAAAGTATGTATATGCAAAACGTGATTTTGTACAAATCAAAGTTCTGTATACTTCTTTATATGCCATGTACGCCTTATTTCTCTTTTTGCAATAAAGATTTAACAAAGAAAAAAAGATTCTGATTATTCTGACACCATTTGAATGCATCTGTCAGCGCTCACCCCTCCTTTTCCAAGCATGCAGAAGAAGCTACAGTGGCCGACACGCTGTCTGCTCTTGTGCTGAATAAAACATGTGGTCCTCAATTTGTCCAGATTTCTCTTCTTTTCTTACTTCTGACTTCCAGTCGACTACTTCTACTACTTCTGATTCTTCTTAGATCATATTCAACGTAGTGATGAAACACACTCCGTAGAGTAATTTGTCCGTTCAGGCTACTGTAGAAACATGGCGACTTGCGTTAAAAGAGGACCCACTGTTATGTAGATAGAAATGGTTCATTCTAAGGTAATAAAAACGTAACGGTTCATTAGGTAAGGTCTTTATACGCCACTGAAAACATAGATAATTATATTAAATTGCATTTCTGTCAATAGATCCTAATTATTACACACTGAAAAGTTTTCCAGAAGACAGTGAAGTTGAGGTCAGTTTACGGCTTGGAGGCCGTTTAGTTTTGACGTGTCAGCACTTGGCAGCTTGTCATCATGATTTCGTTATTATGAGTCTGACTTCGGTGTGATCTCTTGTAACTGCAGGCAACCGAGCACACCCTCCGCCAATTGCTGTTGGCTTGGCTCATCTGTTGCCGGGGTAACACACCCCGCAGAGGAAGGCGAGATGGGGAGCTCATTTCCGCAGATAATCCATGAACTGAAATCCCCAAATACACGCTCATTGATGCACATTGTCAGACAGGAACACAGGCTTCTGCAGAGACACAGCCACACACACCCTCTCTTGAATTCTCTCACAGATGATATGCAAAATATATACAGTGAGTATCTTCCCTTCATCCCCGACCTAACACCCGTCTTAACTGTTCACTTTATCGGTTGCTTGTCTTTTCTCACTCTCCCTCTTTTTCTCGTTCCATCATCTATTAATCCAACCACATCCTTTGCCTTCCCTCTTTATGTCCTTCCTTCTTTCCTCTCTCTCCATCCTCTGCTTCCTTCCTCAATATTTCCTCTCCCATCCCCATCCCTCTCTCTCTCTCTCCATCCTTGCCCCAGCAGGCTGCAGATGGTGCTTAATGGATGCATAACTGAGCGTAAAGCCTTGTGAATAATTCCACAGGCACAAGGTGAGCCATAGGACAGCTCCATATGTGGACACACAAAAAAGGTAAGCGCACACGCACAAGCTACACAATGTAACCATCTAAAATCAGCGTACCAGAACTTACTACAAATGTATTATCATCACAATAACTCACTTTGTTTCATAAAGAAATTGTGTGTTCGGGTTGTCCGTCTGTCCTATTTTCTCTTGAACGTGATATCTCAGGAACGTCTTGAAGAAATGTCTTCAAAATTTGGCACAAACCTCAAGGATGAACTGAAGGTCACTGTGACCTCACAAAACACATTTTTGGCCATAACTCAATAACTGATCTCCATATTTCACAGACGTGATGAAGTTTTTACCCAACTGTGACATAATGTCCTGGAAAACCCCTTTATTGATTAACACCATTACTCAAGAAGAGAGGTGCAGATTATGACCATATTTCACATTTGGTTGGACACTGGATAGGTGGCGACACAATGAGTAAACAATAACTAGCACAGTACGGGCTTTCCTCCACCTCGTCCATTCTGCTTTTCACTTCCTGCCTCATTCTCAATTTCAAGCGTCATCAGAAACACGTGACTGCAAACAGCGCATTCCTGTGAGCGAGTGTCACTTACAGCTCACAGAGAGGCTTCACACCTAAAGATGCCAGGAGAAAACAAAAGCACCACATTGGCTACCTGTACATTTAGGAACAGATTTCTTCTTCTAGTTTTTAAAACAGAAAAATGTTTAGAAGACTGCATTAAGGACTAGTAAGTGACTAGTAGAACCCTTAGATCTTCTTCTGCTAGGTCTTTTATTGCCCCTGAGGTTACCTGTGAAAAAAACTAGGCTCTGCAACGCCCTATTAGGCAATTTCAGAGAGGCAGAAACACTCAATACCGCCAAGAAACTTCTTAAAACACAGGTTAGACCATAGACTGTATATAAAACTTGCTTTCAGATAGCCTGCTTGCCTCTTATATGTTACCTTTACTGTGTTCTATTATTTATTTTTTATCTATCGTATTTAAAATTTATACTATTGCTTTTATTATTTTAGTATGTTCTTGAGGTGTGTTCTTGATACTTTGATATGTGGTACAGGCTCTACCAGGTGAGCTACTGGGGCTCCGTGTTTTAAAGTGTAAAAAATGTTCAGAGTAAGTACACAGAAAAAAAAGTAAAAAGAATAATACATGTTTACATGAGGATGCACCCTTTCCAAGTCCGAATTTAGTAGATGCACCTATGGCAGCTATTTCACCTTGTATGGATATTTTACTTCTCAAATCTTCCCCATTCTTTGTGATAAATATGCTCAAGCTCTGTCAGGTCGCATGGTGATCGTAAGTCAGTCACACCCATTCATGATTTCATTGAGATCTGATATCTGACTCAGCCACTCTACTTTTTAGGTCATTCCTGGGTGTGTTTGGCTTCATATTCACGCTCACCAGGCCTCATGCAAGAAGCACTAGTACGAATAGACTCTTATGTAGCAAGTGAGTATATATATATATATAGAAGATACTTTTATTCTCACATACACATTGTGAAATTTGTTCTCTGCCACTGTGCAGCACCTGGGGACCAACTGCAGAACTGAAGAACTAACATGTTTTTGATGATGGGGGAAACCCACGCAGACACGGGGAGAACATACAAACTCCACACAGAAAGGCCAGGACGGCCTAGTGCACGTTTAATATTCTATTTACTATATCAAGATCACCAGACCTTCCAAACTTCCAAGTTGGGTAAATTATTTTCTATACTACTACTTTTACTACTTCAGAGACACTGCATATAATATTTGCATATTGTTGAAGCTGAACTGAATTTTACATATCCATTGTATATACATTACCACCATGTAGCCATGTGTACTGTGTAAGCTACATTTGCATACTCACCGGTCCACACACTGGACGGTCTCTTAATGCTCATGTGGTTTGATTTATTAAATGGAAGACAGTGAGGTTTTCAGAAAGGTTGTTGCATATTTCAAGGTTGTCCTGGTTAGTGTAATATAAAGCGTGGTAGGAATATACGTGGACCAGGAAGTTTGAGGTGGATCTAATTTATGGCCCGACTCTCTCTCTACTATTTAACAGAGGACCGACCATAAGGGAAGGGATGAATAAAATGAAGTTGGTAACATTTTACTTGAAGTAGACTCTGAGGCATAATAGGGACATCATAACCATTACAAGCATTTATTGCTCATCATATATCTGATACCTGCTGAATGTGTAAAACTCCAAGGACACTGGGTCTTTTCATGACATACACTGATGAGATGAACCCAGGAAACTCCATTATCCCTTATCAACTTTACTTATTAAATCTATACCGAACATGAAGAAGGACAAGGAGATGAAGAGATGAGATATTTTTTGTGAACTTTTGTGCCAAGCATATGTCCATACGTATATGTCAGTTACTGTACATGCAATGTAATATGTCCAGGAAAATGAGACCAGCCACGGCCAGTAAAACCATGATGACCTTATTTCATCGTCATTTATTGAACCGATTTCATCTTTATATTTGGTGGCATGGTTTTGAAACCTGCCCCTGAAAAACAGAAACTCCCTGAACCAAATTGTTAAATGGTTTAACAGGCTGATTGGTAAGTCACAGCTTAATCCAGCGTCCCTGTACGGCAGACAGTTACAGCGGATAACTAGCTTGATTTTAAATGACAACTCCCACGTCTGCAGTGAATTTCAGCTTCTTCCTTGTAGACAAAGGTTTACAGTCCCAAAGTGCAGAACAAAGCAGTGTGAAAACAGCTTTGTTCCAGCAGCCATCACACAGAAAGAAATGTTCCACAGGTGATGCAGAAGCAACATTTTTTGTATTTACTGGAGCCTTGAATACTTATATTATGTTTTATCTACTGTTTAGTGTCTGCTGTCTGTGTTTGTTTCCAAATGTGAGGTTGACTTCTCAACTGCAAAGACAAATCTACCTAGGGGTACAAATAAAGGATCCTGAACTTGAACCTGTATTGGGTTATGATGATGACATTGGACAGTGTTGTTAAAATGAAAGCATTACTTCAAGATTAATTACAATAAGAGTTATGAACATTGATTCAAATCAACTCAAAATGTCTGGCCAAAAAAAGGTTTCAATTTCCTCTTGCAAGCAACCTTTTTTTCTTAAAATTTCCTGCACTTGCTACGAGGTAGACAAAACTCATCTTTGTACTGGCTGTATATAGCTCATTAGCACAGCTGATGAGAAACACTAACACGACTAATGAGCCATTTCAAGAGAAAAAGGGACAAATATGCAAACCTATCATCATCACCACCATGTGGCAATGTGCCTGTCCAAATATAAAGGTATCTCTTAATTAAACTGAAGGTGACATTGTGTGGTAAATGTTGCTAGATAAAAAAATACCCTGGCTGTAATTTGAATATGTAAGTTAAAAAAGAATTTGGACAAAAATGACGATCCTTTGCTTTGAGAGTGAGAACTTTATCTGCAGACTTTGAGAGGGGATGAGTTAGCCAGGGACGGGAGGCGAAGGTTCCGAGCCACAAAGTTTCGCATCCGATCATTGGCTGGACGCAGCGCCGAAGAGCTGCCATTGGTGGATGTGGTACAGAGGGGTGGGGAGTCATGAGGGGTTTTCCCTCTCACCTCGTAGGTCCACTGCATGTCTGCTGCCTGTAACAATAGTAAGTTGTCAAGTTGTGCAAATATGATAAATGGGATGCCTGTGTCAGAGTGACTTGTCTTGTCTGACGTCCTCCATGCCTTTCTGCCATTCTCCTCATGTTTTGTCATTACATACAGTGTTTGTCACTAGATTTCATTTCCTTTTATGTTCGACCACAATACTGCACGTTTTGCAAAACAGTTTACCCCCGCTCTAGTAAAGAAGATCTCCACACTGTTTTTCACGGTCCTTTGCTGTTATTTTTGTAGGCAAATGTGAGACGTTGGTATGTTGGTCTGCTGCGTCTTCTAAACAAGGAAGTGAGTTTACTGACGTATGCCAATGTTTTGCGGGAAAGTTGCAGTGATTGGTCAAAACTGCAAGACGCACTGAATTCACAGGGATTTGTTGAATTTGTGATATTAGTAGCAAAATCCTGGAGGAACTGTTTATTGTTGAGTTTTAAAAGAGTATAAAAAAATTCTGTTAACTAGTAAAAGTGTTGTAGTTATGTTTTTTGTGTTATGATCATGTATTTAGTCTATGATATTTTCGTGTTTATTATTGTTATTTATCACTCCCTGCTTTTGTGTTCTTGTTCCTTGTCTGTGGTCATGCTTTGTATTGTCAGTAATGCGATCGTTCCGTGTTTCTTGTTTTACTTTGTTAAACTCATCCCTGTGTGTTTTCGTGCACCTCACTTTCTGGTTTATTTTGTTATGTTTGGTTTCATGTGTCGTTACTTTGCTTTGTTTCTTGTTCAGTCCCTAATATGTCTCACCTGTTCACTCTCTCCCTGCTTGTTTGTCCCTGTATATACAGAATTGCCCTCGGTTCTGTTCAGTCATTATTGTTTTATCGAGTGTTCCTGAATTTTCTCCATGTTTGTTCTGCCTGGTAGTTTGGAATAATCTTCACGTCTGTTCCCCTTTTTTGGATTATAACCTTTGTTTCGACACTTACCTTCCTCGACTTCATGTACGCCAGACTTTTTATGGTTGTTTAAATAAACTCTATAGACTATGAGTTCCCGCCTGTGCCTTACATTTGGGCCTGCTGTATCCTAATTTATCACCATAAAAAATAGATTCTACAAATAGACAAAACAGCCAATGACATTAGCACAGAATAAATCATTTACATACCTGGATGTTTAGTCTGGCTCTGTGCTTTCCGTGCACAGTGGGTGTGAAGGACACGGTGATGAGAGCTCCAGTAGAACCAACAGGAGGTAACGTCCCTGAGGCTGGATTCACTTTGAACTCACTGCTGCTGCCTGGCAGGAACGTTGCTGTGAACAGCTCTGGTCTCCTGGAACCAACACGTCAAATTTACTAATGAAACATACTATGAGTTGATGAACAAATTACATTTAAATATTTGAGAATGTTCCTTTCAAATTTTCACCAAAGGAACTTTCCCAGGGGACCATGAACTGTTTGAAGTTAGGAACTAAGACTAAATTGGGTACCTCTTTGGCAGTTCCCGGTGCCAAAAAATCTGCTGTACTGGGGGTTAGGAAAGGAAATACTGGGGCAGTCATTTTTAATCCATCATCAGTCATATTTGCCTCATCTTCACGGTTCATCAGATGTCATGAAAACAGTGCAAAAGGAACTATTGAGGTGGAATTTGCAGCATTGAAGATCACTGGTTGGTCAAACACAGTTTCATTCACACAGTGAACAAACACTGGGTGCCTCTACTATTAGTATTCGGAGGGGTGGACGGTTCTTCTACTGTTTATTGATGTTACAAGCAAAGATATGATATCAGTCTCCCGACTTGATAAAGACAGAGTGCGTATGGGCCAACAAGCTGAGAGCAGGAGCGAACAAGATAGAGGGAGATAGAGAGGGAGTTGCGATCAAGAGAACACAATAAGTTAACAAGTGAAAAAAAGCTGAATTTGACTGTTTTATTGTGGTTTTGTAGTAAAGAAGAAATAAATAACTATAAAACCCTTGGAGACGGATGTTCTGGGGTTTTCAGTCTCCACCGCTCTATTTCATCTTTGCAACCACTCACTACATCCATTCAAACAGTGCACCACAGTAAATACAAAGTAGGGCTGAACGATTTTGGAAAATAATCTAATTGCGTTTTTTTTTTTAACCAATATTGAGATTGTGTTTTAATATGCAATTCATTTTTAAGCTCTTTACCTTCTGTATTATTCAAAAGGTGGAGTTCCCCACCTCCGCAGCCTCCGATGCTGGTAAGAAGGGCACTGGCTGTAACCAGGCCGTAACTCTGGAATAACTGAGCCTCTTTCAGACTTGTAAGTTTGGTTTGAAACACTGTTTCCCAGATATTTCCGGAGGTGGCTGTGTGTGTGACACAGGCGCCGATCGCCACAATGTACACGTGTCTTTCCCATTCTGTTTGATAAATCTGCTCAAGCTCTGTCAGGTCACATGGTGATTCATGATGTGATTGAGATCTGATATCTGACTCAGCCACTCCAGGACTTTTCCTGGGTGTATTTGGCTTCATACTCACGCCCACCAGGCCTTGTGCAAGAAGCACTAGTATGAATAGGACTCTTATGTAGCACATACAAGTGAGTATATATATATTGATTGAGATAAAATCTAAAAAACTAAAACAAACCTAGTGCACATTTAATATTCTATTTACTGTATCAAGATCAACACTGCCTTCCAAACTTCCAAGTTGGGTAAATTATATTCTATACTACTACTTTTACTACTTCAGAGACACTGCATATAATATTTGCATATTGTTGAAGCTGAACTGAATTTTACATATCCATTGTATATACATTACCACCATGTAGCCATGTGTACTGTGTAAGCTACATTTGCATGCTCACCGGTCCACACACTGGACGGTCTCTTAATGCTCATGTGGTTTGATTTATTAAATGGAAGACAGTGAGGTTTTCAGAAAGGTTGTTGCATATTTCAAGGTTGTCCTAGTTAGTGTAATATAAAGCGTGGTAGGAATATATGTGGACCAAAAACTAAGTTCACCAGTGTTTTATACAGTAAGAGCTCAATACAAAACCCACAGTTCAACCACCAATTAATTAGTCCTTATCTCAGTTCACATCTCCTAGGAGTCCATTTTTCTATATCCCAGTGAGCAAACAAAAATACTGAGATTCAATTCAAAAGTTGGCCAACAAAAATAAGACCAAGTGACGCCTCTCGTGTTTAATAGACAAGCTTAGTAATTCTCTGACAACACCAGAGTTCCCTACCCCCGCAGCCTCCGATGCTGGTAAGAAGCGCACTGGCTGTAACCAGGCTGTAACTCAGGACAGACTGGGCCTCTTTCGGACACCGTTTCACAGATATTTCCTGAGCTGACTGGTGGCTGTGTGTGTGACGCAGGCGCCGATCGCCACAATATCTTCACCTTATTACACGTGTCTTTCTGTTGTGCATTTTTCCTTTCTGTCAAAGCGGCGTATAGCCTGACAATTTCACCCACCACCACCAACCCGCGGTTGGCGGGTGCTACTTTCATTCCCTGTGTGACACTGAAGCTTCTGTAGTGTCAGCTTCTGTCAGGCTTAAGGCCATTGTACAACAAGTCAAGGTACAGCGTAACGTGCGAAGGTGATGCTTCGTCTGCAGACTGCTTTACTCTTGGGTGTCATGTGAACAGAGTGTAATCGCAGCCTTTGCGATTAGAAAAACTTGTTTTATCATATCGCGGTAATATCGCAAATGCAATTAATCGTTCAGCCCTAATACAAAGAATAACAGGATGACTGTGTTGTTATTTAATATTTAATAGTTTAGTCCCTGAGTTTAGGTCCAATTGTTCAAAAGCTCCTGGAAGATTTTTCTTTTATCAAAAAGGGCTTTATGGCCACACTTGATGTTAGAGGTGTAGTGAACTGAAGTTTGTATTAAATAATTAGCAAACTCGGATGGAACGGAAATTAAACAAAGCAAACACACACACCTGGTGGTGCTGGTCAAACGGAAGGCCACAGCTGAGGTCTTGCCAAACTCAGTGGCTTCAGTGAGGATGACGTCATCCACTTGAGGCTCAGTGGCGATGAGGGTAATGGGAAACTCCCAGATCCTGCCAGACACCCACTGCACAGCTAGGATCGCCGTGCCCCTGGACACACACGAACACACACATGAAATTTTTATAAATAATTGGTTACAATCACTTTGCAATAATAGAAAGACAGCAGTGAATGTGGGCTAAACTGTGATGAACCTTTCCTGAAATATCATCACTTTATTAAAAAAAAAAATACATAAAGGCCATACAACACTGAGCACCTGAATTCATTCTTGATGACTTCGATGAAAGACTTGAGCCAGGAAAGAATAAAGGAGGCAAGAGAAGCTGTGGTGTCAATGACAACTTGTGGTATATCTGTAGCTATCTGACATGAAAGCTTTTGTTTTGTATTGCATTACAAAGAGTGAAGTCAAAATAAAGCCATCTGAATCATACTCTGATAATTTTCTGTAATATTTTACTGTGAGGTAGCAGTAAAAAGGTGCCATTAGCCTAGGCCGTGTCCTCGAAAAGTCTTCCGCTCTTCTGAAAACCTGGGTGACTTGAGAATGCTTTGGAGCCGCAGCATATTTTCAGCTTAGATTTCTTTTTTGTTTTGATAAGGAATAGTCACACATGTAGGTTTAATTTATGTGGTGCAAGTACTTCGCAACTATTTCAACACAGCATGTGCTTTAAGTTAAGGGTCTGGAAATAGTTTTCCCTTTAGGCAACTAGTCAAGATTGGAAGAGTATGAATGGTATAAAACAAAACTTAACCTTTAACGATTCAAGTGGAAATAATATTGAACTTTGTGTGTATAAAAATATTACTGAAATCAACACTTAACCAAACCTCAGGACCATGTTAAAAAGACACTGCTGACACTCGGACAAGTAAAGCTAAAATATTTTTCAAAAATAATAAACAAAACCTAAAAAATAATTCAAAACATTTAAATGCATGTTGAAAAAAATACCTGCCATTCTATCTTAAACCTGAAAATATTATTTTAATGTTTTTAATGTCTTTCTTTGTGTGTGTGTACTAGTAAAATACTGGTAAACTGCGCAATAATTGTCAGCCACTTTGCCAGGTAAAAATACATAAATTCGAGCAGAAATACTGTACATGTGATGAAGAGCCAAACATGGAGGTTTATATATCAACCACAAATGGCACCAACTGATTTTACTAATTACCAACATCGAGAGGAGAGGAACTAATCAGTGAAATGAGTTACAGTAGGCTTTAACTGGAATAAAACCTGTATAGAGTTGGCTCTCCACAGCACACAGATGAATACCTCTGATTCTGAGTCTGTTTCCACCCATCTGTTTTCTTCAGATCAGTCTACCACTGTAATTTATCTTGAAAACTGTAATTTGAGCATTCCTATTCATCAAAAAGAAAAAGACGATTGACTAAACCGGTCTTTAATATTCCCGCTTTCAGCTTATGATACTTTGTCTCCTCATCTCAGTGCCCACGGCATAGAAATAACATGTAGATAATGGAAGAGCCTATTAGTGGCACCACACCCCCCCTTCATTTCCTCATGGAGAAGTCATTAGCCCTCGGAGGTATTGATTCTACCAGGGCACGCCTCATTAATGGACTCCACAGATGAAGACAGGAGCTGATAAATGAATGCACTCTTCACTCAGCAGGATGTCACATGCAATGTACAGTAAGGACAGTAGAGAATAGGTACATTTTTTAGATTACATACAAGTTGCAATACTTTTGTAAAAGACATCACTGCAGAATTCATTTAAGCAAGAAAGGTATAATAATATAATAAATCAGCAAATGTATAGTTCTCTCACAGGCTGCATCACTGATAGATTTCAAAACTGATTTTGCCATTAAAGCCTTCATTAATCACGAGCCCTAGACAGCTAAATTGACTGATATTTGCTTAGTGTAGAAATATCGGTATTTGCGTATATGTTGGCTGATAAGTAACAAGAAAAGTCAGTATAGAAACATCAAACATCCTGTGTTGGAAACACAATCTCCCCTTCATCTTATTTTAATGCCTTTTTATTACATATGCACCGACTGATCACCTTGTGACTGGAATTTGTGACCGGTTTATAGCTTAATCTGTGTTGCTGTGGCACAGGAGATAAAGTGGGTGGTCTGCTAATCAGAAGATCAGCAGTTCAAACTCCTCCAGGCTCCATGTCGAAGTGTCCTTGGGCAAGACACTGAACCCCGAATTGCTCCCGATGGCTGTTCCATTAGTGTGTGAAGGGTAGTTCTGTTTGAGCACTTTGGCCCCATCCACACTACTGCGTTTTCATTTTAAAACGGAGACCTTTTGCTACATTTGCACCTCCCGTCCAGACTAAAACGAGGAAAAACAAAGACCTAAAACGGATAAGTTTGAAAACGCTGCCGCCCCTGTTTTTTTAGTGGGGATGGGCAAAAACGGAGGACTTTAGAAACAATGACGCAGACACATACTTTTGGATCTCTGATTGGGTCTCATAAGTCATGCAAAGTAGAAGCACAATGCTAGTTTTTGAATTGGTATTTTTATTAAAATATTTTGTACCATGCAAATAACACTTATGGCCTACACTTGTACTGTGCATGTTGTCGTATTTACTTTGCAACAACTCCCTCTCTGTGTTTTCCACCGCCACAGAAGCTTGTAACATAACTCCCGTGTCACATCCAGTGACAGTCCCAGCTCGTTCTTGGTCCATGACAAAAAATATCTGGTGTGGTTCTTCATCTGTTCTTCAGTCGTTTTAGTATAGACGGAGATCAGTTCTGATACGCAGCTAAAACGCTGGTGTGGACAGAGATCATATTCATTTTAAAAATCAGTTTTTAAACTAAAACGGAGTAGTGTAGATGAGGCCTTAGGCTCAGTGTATGAATGTGTGTGAATGGGTGAATATGATGTAGTGTAACAGCGCTTTGAGTGGTCAGAAGACTAGAAAGGCACTATACAAATACAGAGCATTTACATTTACAAGTAAATGTAATGTAAATGTATATTTAAATGTAAAAATCCGACCCTGTGCTGGTCACATTTACATGTTGCAAGATGTTTCACATCAACTACACAGTGACAGTAACCGGCTATTGTCACATCTACACATGCTAAAACATGTGTTCAGCAGTGTGAAAGTTCTCCACCATGAGAGAAGAAGCCAGGTAGGTATGAATGTATATTAACGGTTGGTAACATATATTTTTCCAGAGAAAAAGAGAGAGACATTATCTGGTATTATGTTTATTATTATGTTTCCTGTTTTCCCTGTCCACCAAAGTGATGGATGGCCTAACGATTTTATGCGCAACTGCCAACAATCTACCTACATTTGGCTGGTGTTGGGTTTTTAATTTTGAAATGCTTGAGTAAGAGGAGGTCCTGTAACCTGGTGAAATTATGGAGAAAATGTAAAAATTGTTCTATAGTCATTGTTTTATTATGAACATAGAATTGAATGAACCCCAGGAAGAATTTTTTAGACGAGACACGCCACTCAGTCACATCTTCAATACAACTCTATGGTGAAAACCCGTAACGCCAAAGATGGCGGTTATCCCACCCCTCCCGCTAGAAAGCCAATGGTCTGCTTTTAACAGCCAAAGCGAAAAACATATTTCAGCCAATCATGTGGTTCCACTGATGTAAGGGTCTGTTATACTTCTACATGCGTGGTAGTAGAGACTCATGTGTAGCAGAAGTATAGCCGGTCAGGAAAACGCTTTGTAAACCTTATTTTTGGTTGGGTTGCCAATATGGCTGCCCAGTGGCAAGACTTGCCTATGACGACTTTTTCAATGCTCATCCTGGTGCTAACTGGGATCCCAAAAAAGAAAGAAAATTGGAATCGGCAGGTCAGACCTGTAAAAAAAAATAATCAGAAAATGGGATTGGCGAGGAAAATGCAATTGGTGCATCTCTTTTTATGTCTTATGTACAGCAATTTGAATTTCCTTGGTGTAGAAACGTGTAACTCAAATAAACTTGAAGTGCATTACATAGTTTATTTTTCTGCAAAATGTCCTGCTCAGTACATATCCTGATCCTGAGTGGGGCAGAGAGGCTGAGTCATGCTTTCAGAATGAACAAGCAGAGAAGCTGAACATAGAGCAGACTCTGGAGGACTTTGTAGTCCACAAGACTCATAAAATACCATTTACACAGGTGGCTACAATAACAAACTCACTTATTGTTGTAACTCACTGTACAGATGAGAGCACCAGCAACCACAGCGTTTCCTAGCAAAGTAGCGTTTGTGTGTGTGTGTGTAATATGTGGCGTGTAAAAACAATGCATTTTCTCCTGTGTTTATTGTTTATACAGTGTTGTTGTCTGCTTTTATTCTGCTGTTGATTCTATAAGAACTGTCAGGCTATTTTATTGATGTGCTATATACTGTAATAAAAAGTAATTTTACTTTTTTTTTAAATCCCTTTAAAGTAACAGTACTTGATTAAAATGTTCTAGTACTCCTTTCATCCCTGCATATTTCTTAACTAACCCCATCTAAAGGATTCTTTTAAAAAAATTTTTGTTTGAAATATGTTTTTAAATTAGTTAGGAAAAAGGCTGGTTAAAGTTTAGGCATTGAGGTAAATTTCACCCCATCTCTATGTCTTCTAAATCCCTCTAAGGAAATGAAAAAAATTTGCATCCTCAAATTGGAATAGGAATTGAACTGGTTAAAAGTGGCTATCCCAACAGCAATAATATCCAAATGCTTTTCCCCACTGACTGCCATTATAAATCATCCGTTTCAAATAGTGTGTGGTTTGATTAGAAAAGCAGGAGAAAGAAACCCTGGTGTTTTAAATCTAAAAAAGTATCAGATGTGTTTTTAGGTCACACCAAAGTTAATGTATTGTCCATGGGGATCTGACCTAACATGGCAAGTACTGTTAAAGCAGGGGCAAGCTAATGAGCTGGCCTCCCCCTTCCCCTCTGAGAGAGCACCGCAACCTTTAGCTACAGACATTAAGTCTCAGCACATGTAGACAGCTACTAATAAATGAATGCAGAGGCCACACCCATCTGCAAGAGAGTAAGAAGATGAGATAAAGAGTGAGATAGAGGGGGGAGAGACTGTACTGTAGAGGGAGAAAGACAAGATAAATTAATGCAGTGTTTACTCACAACGCTCAGTGCAAGTGTGTTATAGAGAGAGAGAGCAACAAACGGATTGTGTTTGTATGCTTTCCTTCCTGGTGTGTCTGTGTGTGTTAGAGAATGTGCTAGTACTGTATGTGCTTGTTTTGTTTTTCTGACTTATTATTAGCAACCATTTGTTTATTTCCCTCACACAGATGAGGTGTGCATATTTGTTTCTCTGAATGTGTGCAATGTGTGCAATCTTTTTCTTTCTTTCGTGTCTGTGCTTTTTAACACTGCCTCACTCAGCATCTGCATAATACTCTCCCAGTGTGCGTGTGTGTGTGTGTGTGTGTGTGTGTGTTTAGTTCTCTCTGGTGATGAGTGTTTGTGTACATCTCTCACTGTGCCTAAGAATGTTCGACCATCTGTGTGTTTGTTAATATTTTTTTTTACTTTTCATGCAGCATGTGTCTGTGGTTTGTGTTTCTCAAAATGTGAATGTAGTTTGTTTTTTCTATGGTGTTTGTTTGCTTTAACTGCTAACACAACCAGTGGAGCGGTTTTGCAAGGAGAACGGGATTTATTTCACATTCCTTTTACTATCAGAATAACTTTCTCAGTGTGCATTTCTTTTCCTGCGTACTTGTCTATATGTCATGTTTCTTTGTGTGTGTATGTTTGTGTGTGTAGTATTTTAACCTGCATGGCCTGAGGGGAGTGTAGACTAGATTAAGGGTGAGTGTTACAATGCCGGTCTCAGGGTCCCTCCTCGCTGCCTTGACAGAAGCAGAAAGGCAATCCTCCACTTCTGAGTGCTCTGTTTTGCTGTCTAAATGAACCTCACACAGGAAGTCTTCCATCATCCCAAGGGAAACTGTACAGATGTAAAGAGTGAGAAGAAGGTGTCTGAATAGGTGCAAGGAACACCACAAAAAGGGAACTTACTGAGCACTGCTGTACCAGAGCAAATCTGAGCTTTTTAAACTAGCCTGATGCAGACTCTAGTGGGTACAATTTATTGAAAAACAAACAAACCTGGTAAAGCTAAAACTAACTTCAGGCTAGTGTTATAAAGTTATTTTGCAAAGTGATTTTACAGCGTCATGTTAACTCACAAATGAATAATCCCAATTAGTTTAGTGTAGTAAGGATAATTAATTTGTAATACACATTTTCAATTTAGAAAAAAGAGAACACTGGTATCAGAGCGGTACTCGCTATTACAGGGACCCTGAGTAATGGTCTCAAAATCGCTGTTGGAAGAGAAAAGACGTTGATGCATCACTATTTACAGACATTCTGGGTTTAGAAAGTCTGTCCGTCAACACTATTGATCAAACGTTTTCAAGGTCTACAGAAAGTGATGCGGTTTTAGATGATATATGTGAGTTTAGATAGAGTTGGTAAAATGATGTCATTATTTAGTAATCTTTTTATTTTTCTGCTTTTTCCACCTCTGACTATGAGGACAATTCCCGACTACCAAACAATGTCAGACTTAAATCATGACCCTCTATATAGTGATATAACAGATATTGCAGGGCCACTTGGACTCTAAAAATCCTGGCACACACCTTCCTGTCCTTTCCGGACTTGAGTCCCCGGCACACATCCCGTTAGCAGTACATCCACCTTCCTTTCCAGCTGGCAGCCCGCTTCACAACAGACCACGCCAAGTGGTGAGTTCTCAACAGGCACCTCCGTGGGAATCCCACAGAGAGGGTAAATCCAACAGATGGTTGACAATTCCTGCTCTGACCTGAAATATCGATGGAGGGCATTTTTTACACAGTATTTATAAATTAGCAATGAATCAGTAGTGGATTTAAAAATATACCAGGCAACTTAATAATGTAGGATACCTAATGCCAGGCCCACAGCTGCAAGAAATCAGAGTAAAGTGATTTGATTTTTACATTTTCATAGGGCTGAGGACACTAGCTTCTACATTTATTTAACTGAAGACAAAATGGACTGAATACCCAACCTTTATCTCTACTAGTTGTCATTAGTCTGTTAGTCATTTTGAGCAATGCTGATATGTAAAATGAGGAGATGTAAACACGTGTTGGATTGATTCAGTGATCTGTATGTAAAGTATGCATACGTGATTAAGAGTTCTGCACATTGAAAACTGAGCCAAAGCCATTGTACAGTGCTGTAAAAGTAATGGATTGCGGTGCCTTCGCCAGCATGGGCTTCCTGGGTGTTCAAGGTGTGAAAAAAGGAGTGTGAATGTGTTTGTCAGTGCTTGAGCCCTGTGATAGATGACCTGTCCAGGGTGTACCCTGCCTCTCACCGAATGCACAGCGGGACAGCTACTAGTGAGCCTGAGTGGGTATGAAAAATGAATGGATGGGTACATTATTCTGCTCGCACTGTTGTCATACTCTCATCTCAAATACCATGTATGAACATCTTTAATCTTCAAATACTGTACTGAGCAGTAAAGCTGCTTTACTACTCTTCATTTTGTTTGCAGTGACAGACTTTTCAAAACGTGCCTGGATGTAGGAATAACAGAAGCTAATGAGTTTTGCTGACTCGGGTATAACTTTTTAGGCAATAAATAAGACACACACAAACACCTCATGCTGTCTGTATTGAAGGTACTGCTGTTGCTCGGGCTGCTGAGGGGCTTCATAGTAATGCAGAGCCAGGCTTGTTGTAGATCCATAGAGATAGATGCAAACACCACAGGCACATCAAAACTGGCCCCTTCACTGATCTGTATACCTGCAGCCAAGATGGAGGACAGACACACAGTCATCACCAAGTTTTCTGGCAGGTAACCAAATGAGAAATACACTGGAAGCCACTCTGGAAGCCATGGCTCATTGAAATGCATTGCAATGGTTCTCATGTGGACATCTGCAAAAAGGTCGATTTCTAGTAGACCAAAAGCAACACACTTCAACTTCTTTCCTGGGATGTAGTCTCAGGTTGATTTATTTGCAAACTGATGAAGACTAAAAGCTCTCCATATTCCTACTGTCAATTAGTGAAGCCATAGGGCACAAACACGGTCCACGCAAAAACAGACATGAAGCAATGAAGTGTCATAAACATGCCTATGTTGAATACCGATTCTCCTTAACACATCCATGACCATGATTAGGACATGTCCAGTCAGAGCTTAGTCGAACTGGTTAGCCATAGCTGTTTTGAGGGAAGTGAACCCAAACAGAAATGGCCAACTTTGTCTTGTTGTTTCATGCTATTGCATTCATGCTCAGACTGCAGCTCGCCTTTATGTCATTTTAAGATTTTTCAGGTAACACTCAAGTATGCAACACGTGAAAATGATCTTGCTCTGCTCAAAGTATCTGGAAAACAAAGCAGTGAATAGCCACCACCGGAATCTAATTCTACAAAAAGTATAATACTAACAATGTTAGTATATTTTAGGGTTATTGTTTTTAGTTTTGGGAATTGCATTTGCCTAGTGGAATTGGCTTATTGAATATTTTATCATACTGATACTGAAGAGTTATTGTATCTGTTAACACACCTTCAGTTTGGCTCAGAGGGATAGAGAAGGCCTTCTTATTTGTAGCAACTTGATGGCACTTGGGGGCTCCACTCGGGTCCTCATCTGAGACATGAAAAAATACCATGCGCACACACAGCATTAGGAACATGTCTGAGTGTGCCACGTGCATGTAACAAGAACAAATGAGTGACAAAGTGACAACAAGAAGTGCCTGTGACCTGTGAGTGTGATACTGAGCATGACTGGGAGCTCAGTGGGGTTTGTGAAGGGAATGGTGATGGAGGCGGTGGAGCCAATTACGGATGAGATGCTTGTAGGCTCCTCGCTCTCCGGTTTAAGTCCACGCCCACTTAACAGTACACACCATTCCTGCAACTGAAGACAGACAGAGACAGATTAACACATGCATACGCGAGAGGCCGGAGGGAGAGAATGAAGTAAAAAATGAGAAAGCGTGACGGGAGTACAGAGGAGGTTAAGACAAAGAAAAGGTGTTTTCAAGAAACTTAGAGATAGAGTGGCAGTATGCACTGAACAGTAAGCATGGGTGATCTGGCAAACAAAGTATCACAATAAATCATCATTCATCATCATTCATATATAAGTTGATATCAATATACGGTATGTCACAATAGGCTGTTGAGCTTAAAGATTTCCCTAAAATATTAATTCCCTAGTTGTAGGACCTGCAAACAGAAAATATATTTGAATATATAAATCATCACAAAAATATTCGACCTTGCTGGAATAAATCCACAGAAATCCATGTCTTCAGCCAACAATAGTTTGACATTTTGGGAAACGCTCATTCCTTAGATTAATATGAATGCACTGTCATCTGTGTTAAACATGAAACTACAACCAGGAGACAGCTTAGCTTAGCATAAAGACCGGAAATAGGGAGAAAAAGCCGCCGGGCTCTTTCAGATACCAGCTCCTCTGAAACTCATGTTGCGTGCTGGACTATTTCTTGGCTGGGCGCAGTGAATGTACAGATTAAGATGCATGCTTTATAGGATGTACATGCAGAGGGGGGTGCAATGGGTGCTTGAGCACCTGCCCCTTTGCCCTTTGATGCCCAAAGTGCCCTTTTGTCAATGAAAAATTTTATTAATTATTTTTTTAATTTGTAAAGGTTCTTTTGTGAAGGCCTGCCGAATCAAGCTATTAGTAAAATGAATTAATAATAATTTTGCAGTAAATAAAATGACCCAAATTATGACCTTTCACCTGATGACCTCATCCGTGACAAGCCCTCCCGTTCACACACCATTAGTGATTCAGCAGCTCTGCCTACAGGACACCTGCGATTCCGCCGGTAAGAGGGGTTTGCCGCAATGTGCTTGTTGTGGATTGTTGGATGCATTTTACAAGAAAGACGCAAAGAGAGCAGCACAGTAGTTGTATATTGCTGTGTGTCGCCTGTAGAAGTAACGTCAGCTGCCGACAGCTAACGTTGCTTCTGCACCCAGATGAACAAAGGTGCTCTGTTCACTTCGTTCTTGCTGTTTGAGGGAGAAAAGTTTCACGGGCGTCGCGAGGTCTGGTATTTTTTTATGTAATTTGACTGAAAACCTTTCACTTGCACTAGGATTATTACAGTAACTTCAAATAATTATAACAACATTGGTAAAACAGGTTTATTACTTATTCCTCCGAATTATAGCCTACTTATCAGCCCTTTTTAAAACGATCATTTAAGTCAGAACAGTATTTGAATAGATTTAATAGCAAACCTATTATATGAACTAAATAACTGGAAATACATGTAATAATGTCAGTGTCAATATAAAATAAATAATATTCCTGACATCAAAGCAAAGAGTGAAGAAGAAATGGCCCTATATAGATTTCAGACAAAGGTATGAAATGTTAATGTGAAAGGTAAATGCTACTCTGTCATGGTTAGTATGGGCCAACAGAATGAACACACACACACACACACACACACACACATCTTTTTATATTTATGATTAGACATATAGTCAATCGAAATCCAAATATATCTCTGATTCACAATACAATATATAAAATCATTATCACAATATTGCCTACACACACACACACACACACACACACACACACACACACACACACACACACTGTCTATAGATTTGTCTCACTCTTACCCCTGCCTTGGCTAACCTCTTCCTTTCTCCCAGTACTGTTTCTTTCCCAGATTATTTCCCACACTTTTTTGAACCTGGTATCTTATTTCCTCCACCTGCAGCTCTCGGTGTGCAGCAGTCTCTGTTTGCATCTGCCTCTTATTTTCTCATAGCAGCCAGCCTTGGCAGTGGCTGCAGCACTACAGCAGGTCAGTCATAGTGAGCCAGTCCCAAGCACTGTCAGCAATCTTTACATCTTGTCATGGTCACATATTTGTTTCATCAGCTAATATATCTCCTATGTTTGTTATAACATCTCTAGTCACAGATCACCTCCAGTAGTATCAGCAGCAACAAAAGCAGCAGCAGCAACATCCCCAGCAACCCCTCAACAGCAACTGTTCCCTGTAAGTTATGTCAGCCCACCGTGTTTTAAAGCTAGAGCTGGGTGTTCCCTGTGTTTCTTTTTCAAAACTGTGTCACAGCATTTGCTGATGTATCGATACAGAAGCATCTGTATACGCATATAATCAAGGAATACATAACAATATATTTCTGTATCGATATTTTGAGAACAGACCTTTTATGTGCCCCTTTTATACTTTGAGCACCTGCCCTTCCAAAGGTCTCTGCACGGCCCTGCTTTATAGGATGGTGATGCTTTAGGTTAGTTTGTAGTATTTCTCATTGCTACTGGCGCAGGTTAAAAACAACAACCAATGTTTCATGTGGGACTCTAAGTAGTCTAACCCATTTGGGACTGTCTCATATACTTTGTAGCTGAACAGGGCTTTAAGTACACAAAGTATCTTGAGTCCAGCCACATTTTGTTACTTATTCATCCACAGTAGGTCTTTATGATTAAGGCTGGTGACTTTTGATATGTTGCTATGTTTCCTCAGTCGTCTCCCATCTTCCTCTCCATATCAGACACCAAAACGACATCATGCGGTGTGTTTAGCTAACTCAAACCACCCTGCAGTGTGTATTTTGGGAAGTGGGCTATAAAGTACTGCCATTGGTTGGGTTAGCGATAGCTTTGTTTCTGTGATGTGATTGGTTGGTAGTACAGCAATGTAACTTCCTGACAATATATCCAAGTTTCTAGTTATCACAGAAATGTTTCTATCATTGCTTATGTTTATTTCACTCTGTCCTAGCGACCTGCCCTCTGTGCCTTAAATAAAACGTACAATCTGGGATAATGAAAAGCTTTATGAGGTAATCTGATTGCTCCAAGCTTTATGTGGATGATTGGGAGTGACGAGGCAGTAAATAAAATGAGAGCACCAGATTAAAGTAATTTAAGAGGAAAAAGAAGCGAACGATCCCTCCACCCATGTGTGTCTGAATGTGTTCTTGTGTGTGTGTGTGTAGGCAGGGCACAATGATTTATGTAATCCATTTCCTCTCTGTGTTCGTGTGTGTGTGTATACACCTGAGGGCATGTGAAAGTGATCTTTGCCGTGTGGTTCCCCTCTCCGATGGATGAAGGACTAAAACGGACACCAAGCTCAGTGGAGGAATGGGGCTCCACTCTAAGCTGGAACGCACACACACATGCACACACAAACAAGCAAACAAACAAACAAAGGGAATTGCTTTCATGGGGACAGAAAGATAGGATAAACAAAGTGACAAATCCTTTTAATCACACTGCCAGGCAAGCCACAGCTTTCCAACGGATATCCTGCAAGTCTTTTCCTTCCAACTGACAACAGTGATTCTTGTTTGTTTTAGGATATGTGTAAAAAGACAACAACTGAGTTATCAAAAGTCTTAATTTACTGTATTGTTCTTTTAAGAGATTAAATCAAATGCAAATACAATACCATATCCACTGAACAGAAACTACAAAGAACATCAAACATAATGGTAAATCAATATCCCCAGGGGCAAGAGCAAAGTAACTTCAGATGTATGTTGTGACAAATTAAGTTTTATTCTGAAATAATGGGATGGAATACTTAACAGATAAAACTGAGGATGAGGCACGAAGGTGAATGTGAGTGTGTGTACTAACAGTACTAACTGAATCCATTTCCAGTATGTAGTTTCTGGGGTTACTGTTGGCTACAGTTAGGTCGAGAGTATCAGCTGTTGGGTTAACCAGGGGAATGGTCAGTCTGCTCCACCTGACACACACACACACACACACACACACAAAGTTTTATTCAGTGAGGTGAAAAACATACGAAAAGATTAAGAATTTTTGAAAGTTAGAAACTGTAGAAACTTCCAAATATCAAAGAAAGGCTGTAAATGTTTTTAAATAATTACTTTCTACGCCTTGTAAATATGGTCAGTATTATCAACATGTACAGTAGTTTAGAGTACAGCAGTGCTTACTCTTTGTCTGATGATGAATAAATTAAACAGTTAATCTAAGGCTCAAAAGCACAGATAACCAAAAAGGGCATGGAGTAAAGAAACCAGAATCAGAATCAGGTTTATTGCCAGGTACATTTGTACATAGGAGGAATTTGCCATGGTATAAATTGGTGCTTACAGTACACATGAACATGAATAGAAATATACAAAAAGTAAGGAGATCACAAAATGTATACCACAATTACAATAACACTATAATACAATCAAATGAATGCTTGATGAGGTCTATCTGACCCAATGCTACATTTATAATTTACAGAGCTAATTAGCAGTGTGTGCAATTAATATGCGGCTATAACTGCCATTCATTTGGCTGTTAGTGTAGTAACAGTTTTAAACTCAGAGTGGACACATGCTTGTTGTTTCACATGCTTGTTGTTTCTTCTTCCTCTGACGTTAATATCATGGTAGACAAAGTTACTGTAATCACTTGTAATCAATTACTTTTGTACCTGTAAGGATACTGTAGGAATGATTACTAAATTTGTCCAGGTGGTCTGTTTAAGCAGCAGTTTTCTGAACTGAACCCGCTCAATAACAGGCTCGCCGTGCAGCATAGCGTAACATGGTGATCTACACCAGCTAAAAGTGAGCCAGCTTTGAGACAGCAGAAAGTTATACCCAAAGATAGCTGTTGAATTAAATACTGTCAATACTGCGTCTTTATCTTCTCAAACCACATCTATATTACTCCATATATATGAAGTTACACTGTAAAGTCTAAACTAGAACCAATACTTCTGACATTTCTTAGCTGCTTTATAAATTATTTATATAAATTACAACAGATGAGAGTGCTTCACAAGCTCCATCTGAACAGCAGTAGATTGGACCCAAGGACTTAAAGATTACCGCTGACCATGCTATAGTTGTGTTCTTCTCTTTTGACAGATTCTCCTCAGATAGAAAGTCTGTATCACCAACTCATAAATGCGGGCCAAGGGTGTACTTAAACAGTACTCTCCTGCAAATAAAATTTAAGTATGCTGCTGTTATTGTGGGATGTTTCAGAGTCCTCTGCCCCACGATTGCTGAGCAAAATGAAGCAGAGAGGGAGCCTAAAAACACACATCAATGAGGGAACATACTGATGGGGTCGCTGGCATGAACAAATTCACAGTGGTGAATACAATATGTGTGTTTTAATTCCTAGCCAACAACCCTGCAGTGAAATAGTGTGTGTTGGTGTGTGTGCACCTACTTTCCCAGCTGACAGCAGGCCTGTGGTAGAGTGATGACTGGGGGAGGAAGAACATAAAGCTCCAGTTGATACCAGAACTCCCCCACCAGCTCTGACTGGAACACCACACTGGCAGAAAACACACACCAAACCTATGCAAATACTGTACCACATATTCACAGACAAATAAAATGCTGGATGTATTCCATTACAGTATATTGTATTCCAAACAATGAATGGGCATGATTGCAAAATGGTCTCAAATTCAGGCCAAGGCATTTCATGAACAATGATCTTCACTTTAAATGATAAACTGTGTAGAGAAACTTTCTTCTTCTTCCTCCTTTAAAGGAGGTCGGGTCAGCTACAGTGCAGTGGGTCTTACCTGCCTGTCCTCTTCCCTACTCTACCAGGGGAGAACATAGCTTTGTAGGTGAGTTTCTCCTGTGGGGGAATTGAAATCCATTTGGCTCCACTCAGGTCGTCTCCTTCCAGGTACACATCCAGCATCATCAGCTCTCCTCGTGGGTTACTGACAGGAATCTCTATGGAAACTGAGCTCTGGGAAGACAACATTTCAAAGATGATGCCTGTTTTTGCTTTTTCTTGTGATGTTCTGATAGTCTTTTGATCCAAGTGTAGAGGGAAGATTAAGTTAACTCTAACAGTGGCTAGCAGCAAAAACACAGCTTCAGGGCCTGAATGTTACAATTGTAATAATAATACTGAACTGAATTCACTCTTTTTCTTTCTTTCGATATAGATCAAATGGTCAGCTACAGAACATTTCACTTTATGCTAGTATGAATTAAGTGTCTTGCTTACTAACAAGTGGCTTGACCAATCTCAGACCACTAGACCACCACGACACTCACAGTTATACTGAATTTGTGTTTCAGACATAAAACATGGTACTAGGTCATTATCATTATACATTATCATTATATAACACAAGGTTGAATAATAAGAAAAGTCCCTTCACGCTACACAAACATAACTTAACAGATAATTTAATGTGTGTCATGACATATAAAATAAATAAAATAAAATAGTTATTTAAATACATATATACATACACATGTACAAAAAGTGGCACAGATGAAAATTGTGTGGTCTCATGTAATATGTATTAAAAGGCTTGCTGTTGAGAGGTGCATAATATGGTAAGAGGGAACGGAAATGCATACTAATAACATCAGCAGCGGATGAATCACTACTGAGTGACCACTGCAGCAGTGTTTAATCAGCCATACAGAGGGAGAGAGACTAGCCAGGTCCAAAGAGAACAAAAGAACAGACGAAGAGTGAAAAAAGGCAAATTAAAAGATTCATGATGTTACTTTCCCAGAGTTTTCAAATCAACACCACAACACAAGATTGGAAGAGAGAAACAACAAGCTGCTTTACGTTTCTGATTTTCTCACTGACCCTCTGCTTATTTTTCTTTTAGTATTTAAAGCTCACAGCAGCTCCTAACCATTGTGATATTATTACATGATTGATGTGTTTACAGAAATAATCTAGTCAACAAAGTTTAAAAGTTTTACCAAAAATATCCCACAACTTTTCAGTCACTAATATTTATGTTTTGTTAATATTTTTTGTTTAATTGACACCATTAGGTCACATACTGTTTCTTCACAAATGACCTTCCTCTTGAAAAATGAATACTCCAAGCCTTTTCTCTTTGATCAAATTTTGTGTTGTGACATGAGCAGCACGTGTCCAGTCCTGCATCGGGTTCTTTGCTGTGGAGCTCAGATACATCTGTAGTTTTAGTAAATACCCAGCTGAACTGAAAAAAATGTGGTGATGCAAATGTTTGCGTCCCTGAAGGTTATTTGCGACAAGGTTAGTAAAACAAAAAAAAAAGTGTATGTTTGTAGAATTTACCTGAGCTGCACACTGTACATCTATGACCTTGATGGGCACTGCTGGCTCACAAATGATCTCTAGAGAAAAATGCACCTTGTAGTGTCCACGTAAATTCCCTGGATGACAGGAACACATATTAAATGCAAAAATGTGTACACACACTTCACATGGAAGTTTTCCCCCCCCGGATTTTATTATAATGTGAAGTATTTTTGAAGTTTTATTTAGAATAAATAAAACTAAGCTTACCTTTTTGTGTGTCTGCCTCTTGCATATCATAATTTTCTACAAATGACACAGAGCCTGCAAGAAAAGTAGTGGACAAAGTGTTCAGTTTAGTTTTCTTTTGATTGCTTGTTTTATTCATGAAATTATTTATATATTCTTTATTTAGGTTTGTAGTTAATTAAGCTTTATTTGTATTTTATTAATTTACAAATGTTTTAAACATCATTGTTCTGTCTTTTCGTCTTATCTGTGTGCTCGATAACATGCGCAAACAGGATAAAGCCAGGCTGTAATGACAGATCAGGACAGCGGGAAAAATCAATGGCCACCAGCCTGTACACCAAACTCAAACTTACAGGATAGTACCTATTCCCTTTGCTCCAAATTCACTTGCAGCAGCCATCTGACTTCTACAAAAAAAGAAACTAGCCTTATTTGACTTCATTGTTTTATCATTATTCTGTCTCAATGTCATCTAATGTGTTTTATTTGGATTATGTTGATCTGAATCTGAGGTGTTAAAGCTGGCATTTAAACTACAGACACCAAGAATATGTGTTTGTGTGTGTCTGTTTAAGCAGATGTAATAGAATATAATAACCAAATGACCCAGACATTTGAGCACAGCTGCCTTCCACGTCACATCCTAAAAATCACCTGTCTGTTTTCCTCGATTCCATGGTGTCACAGCCAGAGTGTAAGAAGAACTTTGACCAGGTTTAATCTCCAGGGAGGTGGCTCCACTTACAACAGACAGGTCTGTCTCCACCTATGTGCATGTGCATGTACACAAACATACAAGACAGAAAAAAACTTAAATAGACACTCGCTCACTTGCAACACTGTCAGACTGTAAAACCACAAGAAAATTCATTTTGTGTTCTACAAATTTAGATATTCAAATTATACATTAAATATGATAAAACACCAACATGCCCATGGTCCTTAAATATATATATTATTTATTGTTTTTCACAGTGTTGATACCATAGGTGAAGTAAACAATATACTGATAGTTATAGAGAGAATTTAATAGCTAACTATATAAGTAACAACTTTAGGGGGTTGCTGTAAAGATTTTTTACAGACATTCATGGTCCCCAGAGGATGAATCCTACTGACTTTGGTAATCCCATCACTGTTCATCTAGCTCATCTGTTGTGTTTCTACTCTTATTTTAAGGCAATAGGAAAAATCTTACTATATGTATTATTATTAAAAATGCCTTTTCTCATTTCTCTGTTCATCGCCAACACTCATTCCTGTGCTCATTCTATTTGGTTCACATGGGAAATCTTTTTGGCAGTACAAACATCAAACTGCCTGTGTGTTCTCCTTTACAGTAAATGTGTTGTGTAGGACTGTTAATGTGTAATTGTGCATCTTTGTCAGCAAGCAGCAGTATGTGTGGCAGTTATCTGCATGTGTGGTTATACCTTGAGAGTGACTTTGTTCTGGCTGTAGTTGGGGACATCTAGCTGTGTGTGTGTGGTTTGACCTACAGGGCAGTGTAATACCACGTGGTCCACGGGCAGGGGGTGCTCTCCCACTCCTCTCAGGGTAAACATGTGCTCAGTGCCGTTGCAGTCATTATGTAAGGACAGCTTGCCCTGTGGGGGTAGGGATGAAGTCCAGGCAGTCAAACACACACTATTGGTGTTAAGTGCACACACAGAGGAACAAAGGCAAGCAGACTCTCATCTGCAGTCGAGCACTCTCACCCTGACACAGGAACGTGGCTGATTACAGAGTCCAGACAAGTGACTGTGTTGGAGGGAGAAAAACCAGGCTACTGAGGCTGTGTAGTGTGACAGGCAAACAAAACAAGAATGAACACAGCGACTGCCTGCAGCTGCATGTCTTCTATTTAAGCACCACCCCCTAAAACACACACAGCAATGCATTGGTGGTTCAGTGGTAGAATTCTCGCCTGCCACGCGGGAGGCCCGGGTTCGATTCCCGGCCAATGCAACACACTTTTTTTTCCCCCTCCGTTATTGACTAAGACCAAGAAGTGGACATACATACATTAGACAGTCACTAGATTGAGAATAAAGAATCACTTCTACACCAAAATGTGGATACAATTTATAAAAATCATATATGAGTTTCTTTTTCACAGTACTTGAGCCAAACAAAAAAAAAACAACAACTATACTGCTCAGTTTTGTGTCATTTATGGGCGGTGCTTCTGTCCTCTGCTCGCTCTGTTTATTTGTTCATTACTTAAACAAACTCTAAAAAGTGCAACCACATGGGCAGATGCAAGCGTGCTTTTTGTATACTTTGTGTCTGTACAGGCAAAGTCAGATATTCTGTCAGATATAAAATGAAAAAAGCTACATCAGGTCAAGTTTTGTAAACATGGGTCATAGAAATGTGGTCTTAGGACTCCAGGTTCTGAAAGCAGGTCCTGAAAATGGAGCCACTGTTATCAAAAGAATGTTTCTCAAAAAGATAAAGCTCATTGGAAGTAAAAAAAAAATAAAAATAAAACCCAAAATGTCTGTCGTGGTTCGTAGAAAAGCACTGGATGATGATGCCGGCCATGAAGGAAGCTTAAATTCCCAGATATCATCTTAACAGCCACAAAAACCAGACAGTGTGCTGTTGTTTGAGGCATCAAGATAAGTGGTAGTACTTAAGCTGACTGTTCCCTGAGAGGATGGATCTGAGCTAATGAGAAAAAAGGCCAAATGTGAGGGCTTGGTGGATGAGCATGGCAAGGGATTTTCAAAGTGCTGCTGATATTGAATTATCCTGAACACACACACTAACTCAAGACCACAAAACTATAAAGATGCCATGGTCTATCAAAATGTTTATAATAAGCAAGTTAGTTAAATAGCAAGTATGTGACAAAGGAAGTCACAAACAAAGAAAAATAATTGAAACCACAACAACAAAAGAAATTACCATGACAGTGCATTGTGCAGAAGGGTAAAAGGTGAGGGGGTAACAGGCTCTTGTCCCTGCTGGCACATACAAAACCTCTGGCCCGGAGAATCCCTCACCACACACCTCAGCTTGCATTTTCCAGTCTTTGTGGGTCTCATTGTGCTGTGAGAGACATATAGGCCTGATAAATGCACTCGAAACTACCATTATTAAACGTTTTGACATGTTAAAACCAATTTTGCATAACTAATAACAATAACATAATATACTACTTACTAATATGTTAGTTTCAGTCAAGTGATGTGATCAGATCACAGATATATATTTTAACCTTGCTTTAACATAAGATAAGATCAGCCTTTATTTGTCTAACAGGTGAGAAATTTTAGCATAGAATAAAGTGATAAGTGACAATAAACATACAACTAACACTATCAAATAAATAAATTATACAATACTAAAATATATTTTTACTAATACAAATTAGCAGCGCACTGTGCACAGTGGAAGAGACTACTCTCTTCCAAGAAATCAGGTTCTCATTATGGAAGAAACATCTAAAATCATTGGTAATGCTTTTTGGTTGGCCCTTAATAAGCAGCACAGACACAGACTGATCAATACAATTTCTCTTCCCCTCACCAGTGGTATGTCTTGAGTGACTGACCGGTGAGCAGGCGAGCTAAAGTCCAAGTGGATGAATCCGTCCTGTGGTCACAAATTAGATTTTTGGTAACATTAATAATGAACCACATAAAGCAACAAACAATCCAGCATTTACTTAATATACCATTTACAGGTATACTAAGCTCTGATAGCTGATCTCTACCTGTGAAGTAACCAGTGACTCTAGCACATAGACCCTGGTATCACACCAGGACCTCAGGACCACTTGACATGTAAATTGCCCCACGGAGTCTGCCTGGAACCGTATTGGGATGTCCACACAGCCACAATCTACTGAACAGAGGGAAGAGGAGATCCAGGAAGGGGAGGAGGTCAACAATCAAAGGAAAAGTGTTCACAGTTACATAAGTAAATCACACATGAATGAAGCTGTAAGTGTTAGGATTTGGTTTTTGTACTGTTGTTTTTCCGGTGTTTATTTGATATTGTCTTGGTTTGGAGTTTTGTAATCTAGTTTATTATTTTGGTTCTTTCGTTTTTAGTTTCTTAGTCACTGTCTTGTCTCTCATCTTAGTTCTTCTTCCTGCACCTTGGTTCTTGTTTTAGTATTTACTTCAGGTTCCTTGTCTACATTATTTTGGGTCTAGTCTCCTTTGTACTTTAGCTCTGTGTTCTCCTTTTGAGTTCTTGTTCACTGTACATGTGTGCTTCTGTCTTATTGGTTATTCTCTCTGCCCCATGTCTGCTTGTCTAGTATTCAGTAACCTTGTCTTGTCTGTTACCCCAGTGATCCCTCTGCATGTCTGTCCTTGTTTTCCCCTTCTCTCTCTCTGCCTGTCTCTCTTTCTCTCTCTGCCTGTCTCTCTCTCTCTCTCTCTCTCTCTGCCTGCCTGCCTGCCCCTCGTTAACCCTGATCTCTGTCGCCTGTGTTGCTCCCGCCCTGCTTGTTACTCCCTGTGTGTGTATATATACCTGGTGTTTCTGTCTTGTCTTTGTCGGTTCATTACTTTCTATGTGTGTTATGATCCCTCGTTGTCTGCCTACTCGTCGTGTTTCCCTGTTTCCCTGCACCGTTGGATTTCTGTTTGGACAGCTTTTGTGTTTCTGGACTTTGTCATCAGCCACTCAGTTTGAAGGTGTGCTCGCTTTTTGTTGCCTTGAATAAACCGTCTGAACTTTACCTGCTAGCCTACTTGTCCTGCGTTTGGGTCCTCCAACTTGCTCAACTCTGCCATAACCACCACTGAACATAACAGTAAGAGCATTTCAGTTGGAGGAACTCAAGGACCTTTTGAGGAACTAAGGAACTTTACATGGGTTGCTTCCAGAGCAACAAGGTAGAACATTTAGTTTCTGTGCATTGGTTCCAGGTGTACAAAAACTTTCTTTCAGAAGGTTAGCACTTTCCAGTAGTTAAGCAACTATCGGGGTGGAGTTTGCAGAGTTGAATGCTGCTGATTAGTCACAGACTCCGCGGTTTCTAATTACTGAAGTACTGGGTGCGGCGAAAGCTTTGCTGCCAATTTGTCCCAGTGGCCACTTGAGCCACTGCCCACCTGGGTATGCTGGAAAAAAAGGTATTTATGTATGAGTGGTTTGTGTACCTGCAGGATTCTCCCAAGGTAGGTTGGTGTCTTCTTTTACAGGTATTGTAACAGTACTGGGTAAAGCAAAGTATTGTGGCAAAGACACTTCCACACTGTATTCTACCCCTTTACTGCAGTTCACACCTCTCAACAGTTGGTCCTAACAGGAGACAAGAGAAGAAAAGTGACTAATAAAATATTGACAACAGGGAAAACAACTCACAATACTGATGTGGAATCCCCCCCCCGCCTGCCTACCATACCACCAACCAACCATACACTTCATACTGTATATCCAAAGATCTGCATGTACCTGTTGTTTAAAGAGCTTGCGTGCAGCTGTGGTTGTCCTCACAGTGCTGCTATGCAAGGTGTGTGTCAGCATCCGCTTGCTATATTCATCGGCACTCATGCTGTGCTGACCCCAGATGGCCAGAGCTTGCTCCCAGGCCATATTGATCAACGGCAGACACACCACCTCCTCACACACCTGCCCCACCCTGCAGCGTAGGCTCAGTACTGCTACACACACAGCTGGGTCTGTCGTTAGAGAAAAAACATCACCAGTTGCTGTTGTTAGTTAAGCTCAAGCAGTGTCAGTTTCCCGGTTCGTTACAACAAAAATACACAATTATAAGTGTCAAACTGTATGCTAATGTTGTTTAACTGTCTGTGGAAACACTTTAAACAGGTCATTTAACACGACATCACCCGAGTGTGTCAATTAGTCAAATGAGACAAAAACAGACTAGAAGGAGAGTCTTTCTCCCCGACATTCAGGCTGCCTCTCACTGAAGATTCAGACCATGCCAAAGTAATAACCTGTAATACATTTATGAGTGTTTATCACTGTGGATATGAGACCATGCTTGGTCGAAGACAATACAGAATTTAATTGATGATTATGATATTTAATGTTGGTGTCCTGTCATGAGGATTGATGTTGATAATGTTTGGTTAATGGAAAAGCAGCTACAGTAAATAACATTTAGTTTCAGCAATTTTAGCTTTATGAGCAACATTTGGATGATAGGTTTCCTACCAGAGTTGTTGGGGATGGAGACTATGTTAGCACTGGGCTTGGCAGTGAGAGGGGAAGGAAGAGGTAATCCTGCTGTGGCCTTTACCATATAGACCATATCTCCCACCTAGAGGGACACAGAGACAATAATAAATAAATGAGGGTCACTTGCCACACTGGCTGGTAATGTTTGGAGACCCCCATGGAAAGAAAAGACAAGCTATTGATTTGACTGGCTGGGTTTGGGCGATATGGCCCTAAAACAACATTGTTTTTTTTATACATTTTCAAAATTTCTCTTTTATAATAAAAAGGATTTGCTAAGTAAGAATATTTGCAACAACAATATTTATGAACATAGAAAAAAAAAGAATATGTCTGTAAATGCATTAACATACAAACAAAACAAAACAGAGTCTTGCTGACAGAGCATCTGATTGCACTGACATACCCACAATTAGCATATAAAACACATACACAAACACACTTCAGGATGAAGATTTCATCCAATTAATTCTAATTTAATTTAGCATGCACTGTGGGTTTCCTCTACAGTCTGAGCAATTAGAAACTTATCTACCGTAAGTGCTCACAGCTGTCCGCAATTAAAAGATGCAAGTCAATAATCAATAAAAAAAAAAAAATCCATTTTAGGCAATTGACAGACAACCCAGACACTCACTGACCTGAGGGCAAACTAGCAGCACAGAGCAATACTTGGTGCCTGGGGAGAAGGGCAGGTAGTGGATGTTGAGAGTGTTTGCTTGGCCTGAATTCAGACAAATGCTCTTTACTGGACTCAGGAACTCAGTGCCTTCACCATCTGGGCACACACACAAATGTATAAAGACCGCAAGCAAGCACACATGAATAAAGGCTCAGCATTCACACACATGCATGAATGGTAATTAAGGCAGCACAGAGTACAGAGCATGTGTGCATTTGTGTTCCTACTTACTGAGATCTGCATACTTCTCCTCCATCTCCTCCCTATAGCTCGTGTCTGAAGTCATCTGCTCTATACTGAAAAAGGGGAGGAGGAGGAAAGAAAATCATAATCATTCATAGACTATGTAACCTGATTCAGGCGAACCACAGATGACCTCAGTCCTACTTCAAATCCTCATAGTCAACTCCTGATTAGGAGGAGGAGCTGGTCTGTTTGGCTTTGAAGACATCTCAGGTATTAAGGGATGCATACTAACCAGCTATTCTTAATGGCAACCCAGCACTCTCCTGAAGAACGACCTCATACTGTACCTCACCTTCTGAAGCAGTGATGAGCAGGAGGAACACCCTTTTCCTTTTGATTAAGTTACTCTATAACAACTGTATGCAGAATATTTTATGTCTAATTCTCGTTTGTGTATAGCTAGCACGGAAAGTTTGCTTAAAGCTGGAGACACACAGAATCCAGCAAGGAACTCTGTGGCTGTGAGTTGGGCGGTGCTTACTTGTGGATTGTTCGCTTTCAACATGATAGAAGTCAGAAACTTTCTCATGGTAGAAGTAAACATTACACTAAATTGTGTTTCTGAAAACATGTAAAGCAAGAAATAGGCACTGCAGTAACAGAATCTTTATTCATATTTGACCAGCACTGCCTAGTTTTACAGTTTGATCTGAGTGTCCTGAGCCTGGTGCTTTGTGCTCGATGGGCTCATTTGCATAAACTTGAGAGTGAGTCATGTTTATGCAAATTCTCATACGCGATTGGCCATTAAACCACAGTCAACTCGCCATGGCGTATCCATCATGCACTGTGCGGCCAGATCTCCTGCTCTCCATAGAAAATGAAAAGGATCCGTCAACTTGACATCTGTCAACGGATCCAGTGTGTTTCCAGGTTTAGGCGTGAAAATCCTATGCCAGCAGACAAAAAAATCTGTAGAGACAGAGTGTTGGAGACTGACTACCCAAGGTGCTATAGTCCTTATAAGTGCTAAGTCCATTTACCATACAGAAACAAGGCTCCCCTGTTGTACTCATTAAAACAGCCACTGTATGTTTAAAATCAGCAGGTTGAGCTTAAGATGAACGCAAACAAACAACCTCAAGGGGAGAGGAAAAAAAAATCTTAATGAACTTCAGCCTACAGATGTCTGCAAATTCTCTCCATTTCACTCGGGCAGTTTATCTCACCTCCCCGCATGATTCACATGGGTCACATTTTCAGGTCGGAAAACATCTAATCCCTGCTTTGTGATGTGAAGACTTTTGTCATGTTAACCCCTGGATGGTGCCCACGAAAATAAATATAAGCCTTTGTGCACAAGAAACTGCCACAATACAGTGTGTGCTTCTGATTGTGTGTGAGTGTATTAGCTGTCTCTGCTGAGTGCATGTGTTACCTGGTTTTGGAGGAGGCCTGCTGAACAAGGCCATGTTTCTTCTTTTCAGGCTCCAGTGGGTTGAACAGAGACTCCACCAGCACCACCCTAAATACACACACACACACACACACCAGAGAGGTTTGAATTCAGCAATACAACACACATTCTGTACTAGGAGTTGGAAAGCCACATTGCTGTTGAATTTTCTTAATATCATTTAAACAAAATGTAATTTACCCCCATTGTGCTAAGTATCTGCCAGTATCTAAAACCTGGGCAAGTAACACCAAAGATATCTAAATAGCTAGATTCTACTAGATTTTTTGTACTTTTACGGTGAGAGGGGATTCTTAACAGCCACAAATTGCGTACATACACGTGTACGTGGACACAGACACCTACCTAAACACAGCTTCTTTGTTGAAAGGGTTGGTCACAGGCACCTGGATTACATTCAGCTGGTAGCATGGAGACTTGCACTTGACAGTGTTCTAAGGAGAGACAGTAAGACGCAGACAGTCTGTCATCTAGTTATCATCAGACTACGGTTGTAGCCAGCCACTCTCTTTAACAGCCAGCCTTTGGAAACACACTGTACTCCAAACTACAGTTTGTTTGATATGTGTTAGACACAGCACACTAGTGTGTAGCGATTTAGTGCTATCAACAAATCTGTAAGTGGGGTATTAAGTGTAACTACAGCGTGATAGTCAGTCCACCCCTTTAGTTAATTATACTCACTGTTGGTGTGATGTGACTGACGTGGGTCTTCAGGTTGAAGGCGAGAGTGGTGCCGTACAGGCCAAAAGGAGAGCTGGAGATGAGCAGAAGGACTGCGTGCATGGGCTGCATGAAGGAGCAGCTGAACTGGACGGTCAGTTCAGTGCTCGCTCTGAGAAAATCAACACAGCCATCGGCACATGTGATAATTCAGCCTCTGTTCTACATGAACCAGAAGGCACTTCACGGTGCACTTCTTTTACAACTCAATTATTTTATTATACAACCTGGCATTTTCAGATTATAATAGTAATGCATCCGCAGGATTGTAATATTATGCTTCTGCATAATGGCATTGCCCTTAAAGACAACATTTATTTATTTATTGAGTAAAGCTAGGGATTCAATATGTGATGTGGGATATTTTTATACAGAGATACACTTTTAATGAGCTAAAATCTCAAAGCAAATCCAAATTTACTCCACTTGGGCACTTGAATAAGTTGAAAAGCGTTTTTCCTTTTCTTTGCAGGGCACATGTCTGCCCAAAAAAGTTATTTTAGAAGTGGAGATGCAAAGGCACTTCTTCACTAAGGAAACCAGTTTTAGTGTAGTTTAGTATTCATTGTTGATGCTCACTACAAAGGCATGCACCAATGTTTCATAATTACAATTTTACTGCATGAGACTTTTTTTCTTAAGATTGTGTATGCTTCAACCTGGAAAAATAACCCTGTAAACACTTCCTTATGTTTGTAGCAGATCATTTTAGTGTGTTGCAATTAAATGTAGTTCTTAAATTTAAATGGAAATAATGCAAATGTCAAACCAATCCAACACAAGGCAAGGTCTGAATTCTGATCCAATTATGTGCATAATGCAAAACTAGACATGTTCAAGTATAAAACAGTCCTTTTAAGGAGTGTTGGCAGGTTTGGTTACATCAATACCATAAAAAGAGACAGCATAATGTACATATGTGTAAATCACAATAATGTATTATAATTGAATGAGTATTCATTTAAATATTTACCATTAGTATTTATTGAATATCTTTAGTTTTGAAAAAAAATTGCACTGTGTGTTTGCTTGTTTAATAAAGGGTAAAAAATATACTTTGGAGGAATGATGACAGTGTGTCCACCAGGGAGGGAGAAGAGATGGGCATCGTCTCCTAGAAGGAAGGCCTGGTATTTGACAGGCTTGGAGGTTGGGCTTTTCAGACGAATCTGGAAACACACACACACACACACACACACACACGTTTTTTATACAAATTGTATAAACACAGGCAAGCACAACCACAACATAGAGACAAATGCTGCTGCTGCTGCCAGAAAACAAGACAATGAGTCTTCCTTAGCTCAGACTGACATCTATTTTTTGTTAGGCTTGTAATGCGGCTTAACCTGACAATGTGGATCATTACCCAAATGCATATTTGTCTGTGTTTGTAATCATGTTAGTGTGTGTGTTTCTATAATCCTATTTATATATGTGTGTGTCTATAATCCTGTTAATGTGTGTCTGTGTGATCCCAGCTGCAGTATTTTTATGTGTCTGTGTTTGTGTCATTATCTGTCCAGGAGGTCATCATCCAAGCCATTTTCAGTCTCACAGTGCTCATGAATATGATTTACAAGGCATGCAGTTAAAATTTTATTAAGCTGTCTTTTAAGACCAACATCGGAGTTGTGTTCGTGTGTGTGTGTGTGTTACCTGTTTGCTGAAAGTGTTGTGCAGGCCTCCTGAGAGAGTAATGGTGTGCACTGGCAGGTACTGAGGCAGTCTCTCATACAGGTGAACACACAGCATTAACATGTGCACTGGATTGGGGTCTGACAAGTCTGTTGGCTGAACACACCACACAGACACACTCAGATACAGGGACACACAGGGACAAAGTCACAACAGGAAGTCGGAAATCTTGAGAAAACAGGGCTTAAAGCAAAGAAATTGTCTGTGCCTGAAATTTGTTCAAGTGTTAGGAGAAAGAATGGAAGAGAAGGTGAGTCCACGAAATGATTAAAATAAATAACGGAAAATGCACCACTGAACACAATAAGAGTCATCATGTACACAAAATATCTGGAACATTTTAACATGTCTTAAGTCCCGTGTGTCTGTGTCAAAATGGCATGTATTAAAAATAAATTGATTTTCAAATCTAAAATGGTTCTGAGCCTGAGAACTTTAAGCCCTGTGAATAGATTGACAAACTAAACCAGGATGAGGCGGTTTCATAAAGTTGATTTAAAGCAAATGGGATCAGAAAAGAATTGCACAGAAGAATTGCATTAATAAATTTGAAACACAGACCTACGATATCAAGCATATATCACATCAATATACAGTGAGGTATATTGAACAGAATGTGAAGAAGATAATAATAATAAAGCAAAAACTGATAAAGTCACTGCCATAAACAAAGCAAAAGAGAACATTTGGCAGCATGTTGAACATAGACTGTGTAATAAGTAGACATAAACCGAACAGATGAACTCTTTCTAAGCATATAATCCTGGGTTCAAGTGCAGTGTGAGTAATGTCAAGTTTTTTTCCCATTAAGTGCTGAAAGATAATGTGCAAGACAGCTAAGATGCAACATGACATTAAACAATGTTGAAGTATCGAATGTCTTTAGATTGGTTGTCTATTGCCTTGACAAGGAAAGGAACCGCGTTATAACTGGTTTTAGTTTGGCTGATTAACTAACCTGACCAGGACCAGGCTAGTCTGGAGGAATAAGTTTTTCGTGATAACTTAGGTCACTTTTTATGAAAATATTCCTATTTTACTGAAGTAAGTCTGAAGTTATACTAGTCATCTTGCTGTATGAAACACTGCTCTGGTCCCATCTGGAATTTACCTGTACATCTAGGTTGAGACAAAGTGTCGTCAGGGCCTGGGCCACTATGATGTTGTTGTGAAGGATCTGCTCCAGAGTGCTAGTTGTGGTGTACATCCTCCCGAAGTGGCTGCAGATCTTATTAGGCACAAAAAAAACTATGACAAGGTTTTTCTGTAACGAGCTCTAGCAGGCAAAACGCTACAACTAAAACAGAGAGCGAGTTGCACTCTCATAAACACACACACACACACACAAAACTGTGTTTAGCATGATAAGAGGCTCCTCTAATCTTGTTCAGGACTAAGTGCGTCCTCATCACATCAATCACAGTGCCACTTACAGACATTAGCCGCCATCCCTCATTAACTCAAACACACTGAAGAGGGTCTGCACAAAATTAACGGACACACTCAGAGACACATGTACACACACTGACCAGAAAAGGGCAGTAGGCAGCAAGCAGAGCAGCTAGCACCAGTCCATCTGTCAAGTCCAGGTCAAAATTCACTATCCAGCGTGCTGGTGGGACACCACCTGCAAAACATTACCATGCAGAAACGACCTATCAATCAGTAATAAATTTCAAGGAATCAAAAGGTAGTAAAAACATTACCATCCTCAAGCCTTACAGGATTTTAAATTGTGTACTATGTGCTGAAGAAATGCTTTCACGAGGTCTGACTACATTCAGAAAGTATGAAACGCACAACATATTAAACATTCAATGAAAAAAAAGGTTTAACAGTTTAAAACAGGCTCAACACAGTATGCACAGACTGTAGTTGTACTGATCACAAAGACCGCAAAATAATTCAACATAAGGGGCCTATTATGACAAATACAGAAAAACTGTTTCTGACTAGCAGCATAACAGCATGTTTAATGACATATTACAGATCTCAATCAATATGTGGAACCTAAAGAAGAAAAAACATCTATTTGCTAGGCTAATTAATAATTATTTTACATTTACAGATGTTCTGTCCTATGTGGCCAGGAACAGCTCCAAATCCATTACCAAGTTTGCCGATCACATTACATAGGACATTCAGTTCAATTTTATTTATATACTGTAGCAGCAAATCGTAACAGAAGGTATCTCAGGGCACTTTTCATATATGCCTTTACTACCTTCGACATCTTAAAAATCTCTGGTAGTTCTAAAGACCTTCTACTCTGGTACTGTTCCTGAGAATCCTGACAAGTGGCATTGCCAACCGGCCTGGGAACTTCTCTGCTCAGGACTGTAGAGCCCAGATTAGGGATGTCCCAATTAAGTGTTTTTTTGTAAATCGCAGGTGAGGTGCACCACATTAAATTTTGCATATCTTATTTTTCATGACATACATGATCCAAATACTGAAGCTCATGACCCAGGTTAAATCCCCCACTGTGACCCATCCACCATTGTGTCCCTGAGCAAGACACTTAACCCCTAGTTGCTCCAGAGGCGTGTGACCTCTGACATATATAGCAATTGTAAGTCGCTGTTAATGTTAAAACTGTTAAGCTGCTAAGTTATTGATATGATATGAATGAAAGTTTAAGTGGGGAGTGAAACAGCTGATACTTTCATCAGCTAACACGTATCACCCAGTGCAAAAAGACTCCACTTGTGATTTTACAGTGGTGTTATAGAGAGCAGTGTCTTCCCACCACAAGTCTTTGGATGGATACAACAGCCATGTTACATTTTTTTCTGTCCTCCAGTTACTCACAGAAATAATGTTGATTACGGATAGCTGATATGACCTGCTGTGGGCGACATTTCACAAGCTGTTATCTGAATGTTTTGTACACTGCTCTTTGTTAATGAGTAAGAGAGGGGAGAGATTACAGATCTAATTACTGATCTGTTGGCGTCGAGTTTAGTGAATCTGTGTTTTCTGTCAGAACTCATAGCAATTATTTTCACATTCACAGACTCTAACTTTTACTTTCATATGCGAGCAAAATGATGCACTGTGGAGCCCAGCAGTCAGAAAGGAGAGCAGTTTTGCAACACTAGCAGACTGAGGTAGACAAATCAGTAGAAGTACAGTAAAGAAAGGATCTTTATTTAAGCCGATACTAATCCATTAAATATGCTTGAATCGGCTCAGGCTACTACAACATTTCTACTACAGACTGAGTCTATATACACTGTAGTAGGTTACAACTTATGTTTATAGTTGTTTATCTTTAAGTTATTAGGTTTTATATTTTTGGTTCTTACTTTTATTAGAATAATTATTCACTATGCCACACTGCATTTCACTGCACATTGTGAAATGCACCTTTGAACTTTGAATCTTAAAAAAAGTTATACATGTTTTGTGTCATACCTGTACCCCACGCAGTCTTCCTCGAGCTCTGGTAGTGCATGTTGAGCCATGAGAGCAGCTGGAGCTCTCGGACTGAATAGATGTTACTGGCAAGCGGCTGTAAGCCAGGGAGGATTCCATCAACGTTTTTGTGGTTCAAACTTGAGTTCAAACCGCTCTCTGCCACGCGACACAACACCAGCACCTGGGCATGTGCAGAGGAACATTCAATACTGGTATTTAACAAGAGGAGACTGACATTTCTCAGCACTAGTCTACTTTACATTAGCTTCTATTAAGCTGATAGGAGCTATAAACCTTTGTAAAGTCAAAGTGCTTTCATGTAACCTTTGATTGAACCTTTATTTGACTGTCAATAAGTATTAATTATTTCAGACAACCACTGCCTGGAAGGGACAGAAAGACATAACTCATGAGAAAGCTTGAGTCTAAAAGGTACATCACATTGATTGAGGTAATTTGCAGCTCCATTCTATTAATTGCACAGGTGTGGAAAATTAAATTCCACAAGATCACAGAGTGACTTGAAGGGATTTCCATGAACCTGCATATAGTGGATAAGGACAGGGCAAAACAGAGGGAGCCAGAAAGAGTTTTTCACCTTGTATATTTGCAGCAGCACGTCAGTCCACGATCGTTTGCTCAGAGACTCATAGTCAACACTGCTGTAGTCCAGACCATATGCTTCCTCATTTGCCTAAGAGAAACACACATATATGTATATATGGCACAATAGAAATATGTTGTGTGTGAGACCATGAGTGAGACCAAAGAGGCCTCACTAAAGGAACAGGACATTTACAATTTGATGCACATGGTGTAGGTCTACAACCCAATTGTTTTGTGTGCATGTTTATCTTTACCTGCAGGGAGCACCAGTGTTTGAACTCCTGCTTGTCTAGCAAGTACTCTGGTCTGATGTGACAAAGGCAGGCTCCCTGCACCCTGAAACAAAATTATAATGAAAAGAAAAAAAACAAAAAAACATGACAGTGGCCCCAAATATTTTCCAAAATGTAATTTTAGCCCTTTTCAGATATGGAAAATGTTACACTGCTTCATTTATCTCCTAAAGTGTGGCACTTTGCCTTTCAGACAAGACAGTAGGTGTTCATTACATAAATGTTCCTTACAAAACATTTATGTAACAATGCTGGTGTGATTAGTGCTGTAGTTGTATGATTTATTTCTACCTTTTACCGCTGACGGCATTCAATTCATACTTTTGGCATGTGCCATGTTGGTAGCTTTACAGAAACTGATCTTGGAACATTGCTGCTTGTGACTTTTACATAAACGTGAATCTGGTACATATTCAAACACAACCAACACATTTTCATTACATATACATAACAAAAGGCACGTCTGAAAGGGGCCTTAGTCAGGGGTCAAACTAATAATGTCAGCAGCATTGTATGGCCTACCTGAGAAAAGCAAGTATGGCTTCATGCTGTTGTAGCAGCTGATTGGTGCGCTGGTCAATATCATTGGAAAAAGTCTGACAGTGAGGAATACCAGGAATCTGTTTGCCAGTCAGGTAATGAAGCATGTCCACTACAGACCTGAACACAACAATTCAAACAGTACTATACAGTTATATGCTTTGCATCTAGAGCAAGATCAATGCTGATATTAATTAAAATCCCACTAGAGCTTCAGTTCAACTATCATCTACTATTTTCCTTGACCCATTGTAACTCTAAATAACCAATGGTGAATACAAACCTGAGTAGACTGCCCAGTGCCATTTAAAAAAACAGACAAACATTATTTGCACATGAGATTTCCATATAAAAGAAGTAGTCAGCTGACAGAAGCTGCTTTCAAGGTGTATAATTTCAACCTCTTTGAATAACTTAGTTTCACTATGGTTGGTGATTTAAACTTCCAGCTCTATGTAATGTTGTCATAATATTAGCTAAGTCAGCCTTCACTACTTTGCAGCATAAGAATTCATCTGAGAACTACAAAAAACATTTGTAACTATCTGCTCAAAGGGTGTGTACACATCACTCATATACATACCTGGAGTCTTTATTTTGACTGACTCGATAAGTCCGTCCACTGGAATGACTCGTTTGAATTTTCGACACAACTCTGGAGGAAGAGAGGAGACATACATTATAGTAGAAGTCACTTAAAGTGGAAGTCCTCTAACATAAACAAAGTCTCCAAATGTGGCTCCTGAGAAAAATTAATAGGAGAATCTCTAGGGTATACCTTCTGAGCGTGTGTGGTACAGAGATAGGGTGTGGTCCATTCGGCCACCCAAAGAGGCTAAACCACCTCTTCACAGCCACTAAAACATTCTGGTAATACTGTCCTTCCTCTGAGTTGGCAGCAGGGAATTCTGGGACACCAATACCGGTAGGGGTGTCTCTGTTAGGAGAGACGTTTGTATCCCTGCTGGACTGACCGCTCACACTGTCGCTGTCTGGTAAGGAGTCTGAACAGGACAGATGCACACAGTGTTCAGTACATAAAAACACACTCCTGCTGAGGAAAGATATAGATCAGTGGTTCCCAGCCTGGGGTCCGGTCACAGGGGGTTCCCAAAGCTTTATCTGTTTTGAGGTTGTAAAAAAAACTTTTATTTGCACATTTTTTTAAAATCGTGATAACACACTAGATAATTTATACAAAGTCTGTATAAATTTTTTTCCTCACTTAAAGCAGTAGGCAGACTACTTAGTAGTAGGGCTGTAATGGTTTTGAAACAGAGACCAAGTCCATGATCTCATGTCACGGATCCGAGAGACAGGACCGCGGCACACCCGCTCATTGGACTGTTGAGCTCTCATTAAGACAACTGTGGCGGTGGCGGCTGGTGGGGGGTGGGCTCGGTAGCGGTGTATATTGTAGGCTATTCGTATTAACAGTTATTGTAGGTCATTTTTCCACCTTATACTTTAGTGTTTATTTACTTGAATCTGTTCTTCTCCCCACACTCACACACACCTTGCCTTCACCTCTGGTCTCTGGACAAACACGCTGGCTGGCTCCGCCTCTTTCTGTCTTTCTCTCCCTGTATGTGTCTCAGCTGATTTTCTCCATCAGCAGTATGTTTCATAAAGTCGCCCTGTTTAATAAATTCACCTGTGATTCAGTTTTCAAGTGTGCCACATGTTGATCGGAACTGAAACTTAACGTTAGTGAGTGACATCTGCAGTGGTGCGTTCACTGTCGCTCCGTAATGTGACATTTCCTGCGTGTAATACCACATGACCTCTCCCTCTCCGTTTCTCTGCAAAATGCTAAAGTGGTTTGCCAAATATACTTTAGCAGGTGCAACTATACCTGTCTGGCCTGCCCAAGTAAAGTATAGGCCTATGTTGAAAACACTTAAGTTAGTGCAAGCTGTAGGCCTATAGGCTATTTTGTAAATATTACACCTTATAAACACCTTTTCTTGTTATTAAACAATACCAAGAAACAAAACACCAGGAGACTGTTGGTGAAGGCCAGCCAAGAGATGGCATTGATTTACACAGAGCCATGGAGGTGTCATTTGACTCCATTTGTTCACTATTAGTAAGTAATTACATAATATTTTTCTGTGTGCGTGTTTTGTCAGCTGTTTGAAAGGCTCAGCTTTTCTTAGATAAAAGTAGGGGGGGCGCCAGGGAAAAAAGGTTCGGAACCACTGATATAGATCATCATGCACATAGTATATTTTATTATTTAACCTGAGGCTGAGTTCTTGTTTGTTGCTGAGCTGTTGCGATCAAACAATGAGGAGGAAGATGAAGTCGGACCAGAGGCAGGACTTGGTGTGTGATAGGGCTGAAGGATCGCCTCAACAGCTGTGGCCCCTAAATGACAGACATTCATACAATACAATAAATAATCATAGCTGCAGAATGATTTATTGTGTGTCTTTGATATACCCCCCCCCCCCATCCATGGTGTCATGGATGTTTGTTTGTGTATGTTATGCAGTACCAGTCTTGAGAATGATCTGTTGCTCGGAGCGGTGCAGGGCCAGGAAGGGCCAGACTGTCAACAGACAGTTCTCAGCAGTAGCACACAACCTAACCTTAAACCTGGAGGGAGAGGAAGTTGGTAGACTAAATCAACTTTAAATTTATGGGTTTTAAGGATAAGGCTGTTGATATTCTCTTATTTTTGTTATTGTTGACAAATCCAATGAAAAGTCCAAAACCAACAGTTCGTCCCTCAATACTTTCTGACTTGCCTACTACCCTCTGGGTTCTGAACCCCAACAGCTCACAAATATAAAGCTTCATCTTTCATTTTCACTAATTTCCTAAAATAGCTGGTCAACTCAAGCAGGAGGGAATCTGTTGGGGACAATTTTCAGCGGTGGATTAATCCACATTTGGTGCTGTTTTGAGTATTTCTTTCTTTTTTTTACACTAGGCAATTAAGCTAGTCTAAGTTATGTAAAAAAAAAAAGAAACTTGAATTCTGAAGGTGTACGGTTGGAAAATGTTTATGTATTGCTCAACCCATAACCCCAATACAGCATCTTTGTATCAGTTAAATAGAAAGAGGAGTGTCTGTATTTTTAATGGTGCTGAAAATCATACCTTCGGGATTTCTAAATACCCTGGTATACCGTAATACCCTAATACTTCCCAAGCCCAGTAGACAAAAAAACAAAGAGACAAAAGGTGATGTGAGGGGTGGTGTTTTAGAATAACCAATTACCTGTTTTGGAGGTGGTCAGTGAAGGTGATAGTTGTGCAGACGGACAGAGGGACGGTGGAGCAGAAGGACACACTGCAGATTAGAGAGGCCACATTGGCCTCTTGGTTCTGGATGCCAACGGGATATCTCTATGGTTGCAGATAGAGTGGGAAAGAGAGTTAATTTCACAGATCGTGACAATATTTCTGTGCCAAAGTGCTAGTCAGGAAAATCAGTTACACTAGTCATATGAATCCAGTTTGTTTCACCTGATGAACAGATGGATTCAGTGACAGATCTGGACACACAAAATTAGGTTTTGCTCATGCTGCTACAAGATCTTCAAAAATTGACTGGGGAGACATCAGCCTCATGTTGCAACTGGAAGTTATATAGATGTAATGGTATCTGGACAGTGTTTGATTATGGTGTAAACAGCATGGCCATTGAAGATGTCTGACAGATATTTTAAGCCATAATGTGGACCTCCATTTATACAGTCTTAAAAAATACAGTCCACAGAGAATATTGCATGTAGCCCTTTTTATATTCAGTCTATGATGTAGCCAGATATGGAAACTACAGAACACAACCTTGCAAGTGAAATTCAAACCAATTACATTTAGAGCAGTATGTAAATTTGGTCGCTCATCCACGTGCTAGAATACACTCAAAGGACGAACTGCATTCATTAACTTTAGTTGTACATTTTTACACGACTACATAATTTCTTCTTGACTGGGAGGAAACATCTTTGATATCATAAACCACCAGTGAAACAAATACAGTGCAACTTATTGTATACAGCATCTAAACCATCTGACACAAAACTCTTCACTGAGGCAAGTAACAACATCTGTTTTCTTGTCAGATGGTCCTCCATTTGTACAGGACTGTACCTGATCCAGGTTTTGAGCAGGGATGTTGTTACCCTCAGGAAAGATGACTGAAACAGGCTGTATCTTTGTCCCATCCTCCAGTTCTACTTCATCCACCTCAGCTGATACCATAGTTCCACTGGAAGATAAACAGTGGATTTGTAAAAGAATACGCAACATCCAGGTATGATGAGACTTAATAAAAAGCTCAATAAAAGTTACTAAATGGACTTTGAGTGAGATTGTTTGTCAAAACTAAAAGTTATAACAAACCTAATGGGAAGTCCTTACAGTGCTGTGAAGAAAAATATATAAATACAAAATATGAACATTTATAATTCTACAACGCTGAGAAAATTCCATCCACTGACGAAAAGCATGTGACATGTTCGAAAGCTACAAAGCAGCTACTAAGTGGACCATGTGGTTCAGTCAACTGCTGTCTCCAAGGTCCAGAATACAATTTGAAACTCATCCAAAACAGATGTTTAAATAGATAAATATATACCCAATTGGAAAAAGTTTGGTTCTGAATAAATTATAATTTATAATAAATTATAAGATTTATGGTGGAGATTTTTGGTGGAGATTATTGCAATAGTTGAACCTTGCAGATATCAAAGCATTACTCTGTGAGAGCTTGCTGAAAGAAAGAAAACCTGCTACGTTTTCAGATGATAAAAAGCAGATTTGGTGACATAACCTATATGGGCCTTTTATTATTTTAAGTTATTTTACAGCGTTTTGAGAAATGATTATCTACTGAGCAGCACTCAAGTAGTACCAAAAAATAAGTTTACTGGGATATAGATCAAGTTCAAGTTTCTTGAATTACCACACGGCTAGGCTGGTGGAATTAATCTCAGCACAGAGGGAATGGCTGTAACAATACACCACATACAAATGATCCTATTATCATCAACTACTTGACTACTAAGGCAGCCTCTGTACTATGAGAAGCCTGAAAACCAGACCGAAATATTTCTACTTTATTGTTTCAGTTGAGAAAACAATTTCTTCGCATGGAGACCAGTTTCTCAAAAATTTTAAAAGTAACGACAATGGTAGATATAAGTGAAAATGAAAGATGTATGATAAAAACTAGACAACTGTGGTTTAAGTGCTAAATTTAAGTTGAAATGTGTTAATAGAAAATGTTTGGTAATGAGAGTACAGAAATCCTTCTAAATCAAATGATCAAAATTGAAACATTGAACACTGATTAACATTGAAAGCTATGCAATGCATCCGGCTGTATTGATATAAGTGTGTTCTCACGTAGCACCCTCTGCACATTGCTTGTGGGTAAGTGTTGTTTTAGCATGTCCACCGTGCTCTACAGTAGATAGGTTTTTTTGAGGAGATAAAGATATTTATGCATGCACTATGTTCCTCTGTTTAGTCATGGAGATGTTGGTCTTATTGGCTTACAATGTAAGCAAAATCCAACATTAGTACAGACCTTCCAGTTAATGAGTCCTGGCTTCAATGATAAAAATCCCACTTAAATGAATAATGTAGTCAGTTGATGTGTGTGGCAGTGTTTCCACTGCAGTCATTTAGCTCCAATGGCTCAACACAGCTGGTAAATTGCTACAAGCTAGAAAAATGTAAATACAATAAAAATCCATCATTGTTATTGCTCAGCTTATGCAAAAAAGCTGACAACTAACACTGTGATCGCAAAGAAGTGGCCCATTTGTCATGATCCAAATAATCAGAAGTATGGCATTCATAAAATGTAACTGGAACTGGAATAGTTTTAGGCCTGGGGTGACCAGAAAACACAGTGTATGTGTGTGTGTGTGTGTGTGTAAACCAACTTAGGGTATCCTAAGGCCAGCAGGGTGAGTGTTGCAGTTGCGTTGCTTTCCAGGGGTACTGGTGTAAGGAGGATTTGAGGGGGGTGGATGGTGATACAGGAAAGCTGGACAGTAATAGTGATGGACAGTTCTCGGTAGGGTTGTTGTTCCTCCTCTCCTGCCATCCCCTTGTCTCCCTTGTTTCCCACATAAAGAGGGATGGACAGTTTAGTCACTCGTCTAGAACCTAGGTGAAAAAACGTACAAATCACGTTAAGAACACGGAAGCAGGTTACATGGAAGTAACTCCAGTTCTACAAGTACAAGCACACCATCACTCACTATCACAATGTTAATGAAAGAATGTAAACACAAAGCGGCATGATCACGTATGATACGTGCATACATCTAGTTGTGTGGTGGTGCTATCAATGGGTCATCAGTATACATGTCAGCACCTACAGTTCATAAGTTAAATTCCCGAAACTGTCAGTGCGTCATGACTAGGAGAACCCTGTGTTTAAAGGGGATAAAAGTAGTTGTGACTGGCCATGATAGTCAAGCCTCTAATTTTCTGTGGGTAAAAATATTATTATATGGAATTCCAAGAGGATAACATTAAAGGCTCTATCAAGCCATAAGGAAGTCTTATGTATTGTGAGGCTTCACACAGACAGACAGGTGAAAAAGTAAAGCATTTTTCCTGAAACTATTGGACAAAAATGACTGGCCTGTTTCTGGTGGCTCTCATCTTGACAAGAATAAGTATTGCCTCAAGAGGCTGGGTCCCAGTGAGAAACATAATTCTTCATTTATGGTCCATCACTAAAGATTATTAAGGCTCCATGATTTAACATAAGAACATTCTTTAACCGAGTATTATTTTAATTTAGATTTAGTTTATGTTTTACTTCTTAGCTTAGCTTTGGCCAATGTGAAATTATATGGGCTGTTACACTCTGTTAAGCTATGAAATATGTTGTGCATTATCAAGTTTTACTCCAGACGTGTATTTGTGTGTGTGGGAGAAAGGGGTCGAGTGATATAAATTATGATGGTGTGATTTGAGAGTGTGTAAGAGAAAAATTATATTTACAGTTCCATGACTCTGTATGTGTGAAAGACAGGAAGGCAGAAAAAAATAAAGTAATCGATCATAGTGTGTGTGTGTGTGTGTGTGTGTGTGTGTGTGTGTGTGTGTGTGTGTTCATTCATTTCTCACCTGCTCTGATAACCTCAGGGCTGATGCTGACCGCCAAGCAGATGGACTGGCTGGGCCCCAGACTGCCTGATGATGGAGCCACCATACATAGCTTCTCCATTCTTCTGTCTTCTGTTGGGCCCGCTATTGCATTGCAGTCAAACCACCAGTTTACATGCTCCCTGACTCCCTTATGCCAAAACACACTCTCTTCACACACTGCTTTCAGCTCCACTATCTGCTGAGGGGAAGCAAAGCAAGAAACAGAGTTGGACTAAAAGAACAGACAGCACAGAGTATAAGAAAAAAAGAAACAAGCAATAATTTGTCAGAAGGTGGTGTCAGATATTTACTAGGACGGCACATACTGCATGATGACAGGTAGATGTGTAAAAATGAAAACTACAAGGGAGAAAAGAGGATGAAGAGATCCAGTAAGAAAGTTGAGGGAAAGGGAGCACAGTGAAAAACATAGAAATGGAGGGAGGCAAGAAATTGATAGGCTGCAGACAAGCCCTTGTTGATACCTTAGTGTTAGCATCAGACTGTAGTGCCAAAGGCTCCACATGGAACTGTAGGCTAGAAGGGGACATTTCCAGTGGGGCGCACAGCACTAACAAACATTTTAAAAGAGGGGAAAGAAAAACCATCACATTTAACTACATGAACCTTGTGCCATGTGAAAAGATTTGTGTTCTGTTAGCTGAATAATTATTTTGAATAGTATTTAAAATATAGACACATACAGCTCTGACCCCACATTAATGATCCCACCTGTAGCCTGTATGTGATGTGACTGTTGTGTCACCATTGTGACAGACTGTGGAAGAGTCTTGACGACGTGCTTCCTGCTGCCAGCTGACAGCAAGGAGGAGGTGGAAGAGAAGGACGCAGTGGGAAAGGGAGACAGAGAAGCAGTGGGCCATCTCATTCCGTTGACTATCAGTGCAAGGTCAAAGTCGTAGCTGGCCACCTGCAGGAAGATACTTTTCTTAATATTTAAATGTAAGCCCTGTCCCCCCCTTAGTTATTGTGGCTGCACCTGTCAAGATTTTGTACCGGTTGGACATGGTTTCCCACTCAGTTTCAAACCAGGAGGCATAACGGCCGGTTATGCCAACTTGAATCAACATCTCTGTGCGGTACAACATACCGCATGTTCAAGCAGCATCAACAGCACAATAAATGATTTCCCTGGTTTATTATGGCTGAATTTAAAAGTTAAAGGTGGTGTCCTGTCTCCGCCAATACTTATAAGTTGTGAAAAGATTGTTGTTTTCTAGCCAGACATTAAAACTGAAGAGGGGAATAAGCCCTTTTTCTATAGGTAGATAGAAGCAGGCTTTTTTTTCTTATCAGCTGTAGTAGATAATTTACTTTATTTCACTGTATGATTAATCAAAAATTTTTATTAATGTGCATTGTTTCCTTAAGTGCTAGTCGTTTCTTACTGTCTACATTTGTTTTACCCCACTAATGTAGTTAGTTAATGTTTTGCTCCTTAGCCTCGGAAGTAACTCTCGGTTACAGATGCTAAATGCTCATTTTAGCTTGGTCTACTCAGTCTTACGATACTTTATCTACTGGGAGATAGCTGGTCAAAATCTCACCTGTGTGGGGGAGAAGACGAGGGAACAGTCCACTGTCTGGTAGCCTTGGACCTTCACATATTTCACACCTGGCTCCTTCTCTGCTCGAAAAAAAATGCACAGAAACAATCAGAAACAAAAGCAATACACAAAACATGCCGTGGATTTAAAATTTATAAACACTTTTACTTCCCTATCATTTCTATTTAACTTCTATTCTAGTCGCAGCCCACACAGTAATGCAATTAATAAATGACAATAATGATATGTCCTGTTTGCATTGGACAAAACCTCTTTCTTATCTTCTTAAGACATATTACTCACACACATGCTGTGTGTAAATACATACTTGCTGAGGCCTGAGGGAGCTGCAAAGAGAATTCAGTGTATTCTGACCGGTCGAGGGTGACCCAGGCTTCGGCTGACGAGTGATTTGTCAGAACGAACAGTATCGCTCGCTGAGAACCAGAATAGACCCCGTAAAACTGGAAATGGGACTGAAAAGAGGGAGGGAGAAATGAACGCCAGAGTAATCTCACAGTAAGAGAGAAACAGTAATCTCAAAGGTGGATATCTCCAAACTCAAGTTTGAAGTTTCAGACAGCTACTCCTGCAAAATATAAAACTTTTTTCTTTCAACGACCAGAGTCATACAAAAGCTCAATATCCTTGACTCCATTTCAATCAAAGCTGCAACCCTTTCTGTTTCCAAAGGCACACACACACACATTCACACACACTTTAACACAAAGTCTGATGTATTTTCTTCCTCTTTACACAGTCACTTTCCTCCTATTTCTTTACTTTTCACATCTATGAGCCAAGGTATTATCAATTAAAACAGTGCATGTTCATGTCTAGTATGTTCTTAAATGCTATAAGTAGGATATGACAAGCTTTTGTAAAATAAAACCAAACGTAAATCAAGACACAGACGCATTACACTCCAATACTGATAACATTTTATAATGTCATTAATACAAGACTACTAGAGGTGTAAATAAGAGGTAAATTGGCATAAGAATAATAATTGCTATGTATAAGAAATAAAGCCAACAATTTTTTTTCAACGGCAAACCTGAAGAATACATTACCTTTGAGTTATTCTGAAAGCACAGTGTCTCCATGCTAATCAAGAATTGGACAACTGGACAAATAACTGTCCTGCTTCATCATTTTTATTAGCAATCACAAACTGCCATGCAAACCTCAACAATGCAACAGAAATTGCAATATAATTGATTGAAAGGTGCATGGTGCAATATTTCTTTCACCAACTATTACATTACAAAATGATTTATAGATACTATTTATAAACTTTAAGATGATGTAAGTTAAAGATTATTCCAAGTCCAGTATGCTCACTTTGTTATTAAAAATCTATTAACACATGTAGCTACATGTTTTTGAGTTTAATTGCCTAATACTGTATCAGATGTTATTGATTTGCAGGTAATACACTGACTGTGGATAAGCACCTCATACAGCCCCAATATTTCTTTAATCTGTCAAGATAGCTAAAGAAGGTCCTCAGCTAAGAAAATGAGGATAAAACCTCTGCATAGATCATGTATTTGACAATTTCATAATCTTAGATGTGGGAATGATAAGTCAACTGCTGCTATGAAAAAGGCTGCTGATTTGGTTAAATCCTATATGTAAAATTGTGACTGTTTACGTATAGATAACTGTCAAGTTTCTTGTAAAACGAGGAGTCAGCGTCGGTGGATTCTTTCTTTTCCTCAGATTTTCAGATTTTATTATATTTCCTTCTCATCTTGCATTTACCATATATATGTTGTGCATTGTATAAATATATAATTGTGCTGTTTTGCGTGAATGGTGTGAAGTACTAATAAGGAGTTGGTCACAAAAAGGAATCATTTCATGATAGCACCATCTTAGTGAAAACAGGTCTGGGAATAATGGACAGTGAGGTCAAATACCATTCCTGTATCAGTCAAAATCATGACAAAGGACTTTACAGTGCCACTGATCAAAAACTAACAAGGACAACCTGCAACATCAAGGCTTCAAAAAGGAACAATGAAATTAAAATGCCAAACCTGAGTCAAGGTTCTGCTCAAGGTTTCTACCTGCTAAATGGGAGTTTTTCCTTGCCTTTGTCACCAAGTGCTTGCTCCTGGTGGGAGTTGTTGGTTCTCTGTTTCTGTCTATTATAATATTGTGAAGTACGGCGAAGACCTGTTCTGTATGAAAAGTGCAATGAGACAACTTCTGTTATGAATTGACGCTATATAAATTGAATATTAACATTACGTTGTCATAACAGCAGCGCATATATCTCGCTTCGGTGGGGACAAAAGGTAAACAGGATTTGCAGTCCTGTCTCGCTGTCCTGACGAAAGCGCTCAGGGATGATTTCGCTGTGATCATGCACAGCACTGCTGTGATAAGCCATTTCCAATTACCGAGCTTACAGAGCACCTCATCATTGGCTCTCTGTCTGAAATACACCCAAACTTTAGATGGTCGCAGGCAAGTTTTTTTAGCTGCAGCTTGTACTCTGAGGGAATCCCTGGTTTGACCGGACGCAGCACCCCAACACGCCAACGCACGCTATAGAAATTAAAGTAATCGAGTCGCCCCAGCCCTAATATCAGCCTGATAGACAGCATCTTTGTGTTTTATATCTTTATATGGTATAGTATATTAAGTAAACTGTGGCAAATTAAAACAAGTTGGTTTGGGTTGTTGGGAAAACTGTAGGTCATCACCAACATAAGCATTAGATGCTCTCTATAATACTGCTGTATTGCTTAAAATCGAATTTCTTATTATTTATAAAATCATCCTTTGTACCAAGAGCAATCAATATGACGAACAAACTATTCATTATACTGATTGCACTTGCGGTATGGCGCAAAATATAGATTGTTTTATTTGATGATAATAATAGTAAAAACAAAGACTGCAATCAGTCAGTCCTGACATACAATTCAATTAAGGAGGATAAAAACACAATAAAGCTAAAAGCTAACTCTCATTGTGGTCCTCATTAGAAAGAGAAAAGAGTAAGATTGCACAGTGAAGATCTGTCAGTCAATAAAAAAATAATACAAACAAGCAAATAAACAAAACACATTTATGATTGACTACTTAACAAGCATTTCTTCACCAAAGGTTTAAAACCCCTCTCGGCCTGCTTTAGTGATCCTTCAACACTGGTCCAGAGAATTGCCCTGAATCTTAAAGCAATCATATTAGTTGAACTACCTACTAAGACTGAAATTGTTGAGTAACCAGAAGTATTTGTTTTATTGTGACAGATAGACAGATTTAAATATAGTCAAAGGCGTAAAGCATGGTGTACTGGAGAACAGTTGTGCAATGGGTTATAATTTTGAAGGAACACATGATACACAGAAGACTTTTCCATACTCAATAATAATATATAATAATCCTTATTTGTAGAGCACTTTTCAAAAAAAGTTACAAAGTGCTTTAACAAGTGTAAAGAATAATACAAGATAAGAGCATGAAAACATTGAAAAGACTAAAATACAGATTAATATAAAATTAGTAAAATACAATAAAATAAAAGGGATAAAATAAAGTCAAATAAGATCGGAAAGGCTCTCCTATAAAAGTATGTTTTAAGAAGGGACTTAAAAGAGTTCACTGACTCAGCAACCTGATTTCCTCGGGCAGGCTGTTCCAGAGCCTCGGGGCCCTGACAGCAAACGCTCTGTCCCTTTAGTTTTCAGTCGAGACTCTGGAACAGACAACAGACCTCTGCCCGAGGATCTCAAGGTACGTGCTGGTGTGTATGGGACTAAAAGTCAGAAATATAACAAGGCGAGAGGCCATGAAGAGCTTTAAAAGTGATCAATAGAATTTTAAAGTCAATTCTAAAACATACTGGGAGCCAGTGTAATGAAGCTAAAATAGGAGTAATGTGGTCATATTTCTTTGTTCTGGTTAAAAGCCTGGCAGCTGAGTTCTGGACAGTCTGGAGTCGATCAATAGATTTTTGGGTTAAACAGGTGAAAAGGCTGTTGCAATAATCCAGGCGTGATGAGATGAAGGCGTGTAAAATGGTCTCGGTGTCCTTAAAAGTTAACATAGATCGAATTTTTGCTATATTTCTAAGTTGATAAAAACATGATTGAACAAGCTTTGTGGTGTGCTGCTCGAAATTTAAATTACTATCAAACCAAACACCAAGGTTCTTTGCCACAGGCTTAATGTGATTTACTAGGGAACCAGCAGTATTTGTTTTGCCATCTGCTGGGACCCAATGACCAGGATTTCTGTTTTGTCTGAGTTCAGCTGGAGGAAATTATTTGACATCCATTTTTTTACTTCTCAAAGGCAGTTGTTAAGTGAACTCAGCATTCCAGGGTCTGTGGATCTGATAGGCAAGTATATTTGTGTGTCATCAGCATAAATATGAAAAGAAATGCCATGTTTATGGATAATATGTCCAAGGGGAAGCAGATACAAGGAAAACAAAATGGGTCCTAAGACCGACCCCTGAGGCACACCATATTTAACTGGACAGAATGAGGAGACATAGTTGTTTACAGACACACAAAACTTCCTATTTGACAGGTAGGATGAAAACCATTCTAGGGCAGTACCAGAGATCCCAGTGCCTCAGTCTGTCTAACATGATGTTGTGATCAATGGTGTCAAAAGCAGCGCTAAGGTCCAGGAGTACAAGGACTGACCACATGCCTTCATCAGCAGACATTAAAAGGTCATTGGTGACTTTAAGCAGGGCAGTCTCAGTGCTGTGGTACTTCCTAAAACCAGACTTTTCAAATAATTTGTTATTTTCCAGTACAGTGAGCAGCTGTTTGGACACAATTCTTTCTAGAATCTTTGCAATAAAAGGCAGTTTTGAAATTGGTCTAAAATTATGTGGGAGGGAGGGATCTAAATCAGGTTTCTTTAAAAGTGGGTTCACGCAAGCCGTTTTAAAATGAGTAGATAGGGAGCTGTTCAAAACAGAGATCAAATGGGGCCCAACAGAATCTATTACTTTCAGTAAAAATTTTGTAGGTATTACATCAAGTGGGCTGGAGGACACTCTCATTTGTGATACTGTTTTTAAAAGCTCAGACAAGTCGATGGGATAAAACTGGTTAAAACTCTCTTGTTGCTGGTGAGGAACCTCTGAGTAAGAGGCCACGGGGTAATAGAGGCTCTGATTGACACCACCTTATTGGTAAAATAAGATAAAAACAATTCACAGTCATCATTACTTCCAGCTGAGGCACAGTCTTAAACAGAAATCTGGGATTGTGTTTATGTGTAGTAATGAGTTCAGAAAAATAGTGTGTTCTCGCATCCTTAACCGTGTTATTGTAGTTAATTAATAAATCCTTCAGACTGAGGTAATGGACTTGGAGACTGGATTTTTTCCATCTGCGCTCTGCTTTCCTGCATTCCCTTTTTAGGCTACGAATGCTGTCATTTATCCAGTGTTGCTTACTAGCTTTAGACGTAGGCCTAACCTTTAGAGGAGCAGTAATATTTAGTGACGACAAGCACATAAGATTGAAGTGATCGACCAGATTGTTGGTGTTGGAATCAGACAGGTGTTGGCTTTGGCTCTGAAAGAATGCGCAAAACTTTGAAACACTTTGTTCATTAAAGATGCGAGAACACATGGAGCTTCGTGAGGCGGCATGAGTAACAGGCGAATCGCAGCTAAAAACAATACATCTGTGGTCAGATATGGTCATGTCCACCAATTCCACAAGGAAATGCTGACACCCAGGGTAAAAACCAAGTCCAGTGTATGACCACGGTTATGTGTTTGCCCTTTGACATGTTGTTTGAAGTTAAAAGAAGTGGCCATATTTAAAAAGTTAGTTGCATTAACATTGTTGGGGTCATCAACATGAATATTAAAATCGCCACAAAGAACAATTCTGTCATAATTTAAAACCAGAGTAGATAAAAATTCAGGAAGTTCTGATAAAAATCCTCCAGGTGTTTGGGGGGCGATAAATTATAACAAATATGATAGGTTGCAGCCCTCCAACTTTAAGAGTGAGAACTTCAAAGGAGTTAAATTCATCACAGCGTACTTAATGACATTTTAAATTTTTCCTATACACGCTCACTAGCCACCACCACGACCACTGACCCTCGGTTGACTAAAACAATCATATTGAGGCGGACACAGTTCAGCTAGCTGGCTATAGTCATTCATTTGCAACCAGGATTCAGTTAAAAACATAAAATCTAGATTTGCAGACAAATAAAATCATTTAAGATAAAAGTCTTACTTGACAGTGATCTCACATTGAAGAGAGCCATTTTAAATGAGTTTGTTCTGGGTGCTGGAGTTGGTGCAGTTGTCCTAATCCTTAAGAGATTACTAATATTTCTGTGTGGGATGTGCACATTTCGGTTTACTGGTCTATGCGTGATGATGACAGGAATAGAAGTCTGTGGAACAGCGCTGGGAGCAGACGGCTTTACATGCCAGCAGGTGGAGACAGTTGTTTGTGGCAGTGAGGCAGATTCTGTTCAGTGAGCGGTGGTGTGTCCAGGTGTGCTGCATGAATGATTAGTCATTCACGTAAGTCATGTGTGGACCGCACACATGCTGTATGTGCGCAGCTAACATTTCTGAGCCCCGTTTGTTTGGGTGAAGTCCGTCTGTCTTAAAAAGAGAAAATTATCCACATAACACACACGATGAGCCCTTCAGGCGGACTGGAGCCAGTCGTGGAGGCCAAGGAGTCTACTGAAGCGGCCAGCACCGCGACCAACTGTGGGAATGGGACCAGAGATAAAAACGGACTTTCCACACTGCTTTAAAAAGTTAAAAAGACGGTTAAAATCTGATTTGTCAGCTCAGACTGCCGAAGAGCTGTGTCATTTGTTCCGACATGGACTATCACTCTTGTGATGGAGGACGGGAGCGACGGCATCAGGTCCTGGAGTTTTTTTAAAATGTCAGCTGTGGTGGCACCGGGGAAGCAGTGAGTGGTAGCGTTAAAGAAACGGAGGTTTCTGGTTATGGAGTCACCAATTATTAGTGTGGTTGGGGAGAAAAGAGGACGAGGAGATGCCGGTTGTGGGGTTCCAGAGCAGGACTGAGCAGAATCTGCTTCAACACTGCGTGCGGACTGAGGATGGAGTGTGTGAGCTGCCGAGTGTTGTGTTGGAGCAGCAGTAACAGACCTGAGAGAAGGGCTACCCGACAGTGCAGGGTAGAGACGGCCTCCGGAGCGTCTGAGCACAGCCTCCTTCAGGTTTTTGACCGGGATGACGGCCGCCGATCAGGACTGGCGGCAGACCAGCGGCCCAGTTCAGGAGATGTAGCCGGTGGAGGAGATGCAACAGTGTCGGCAGGCACTGTGCGGCGAAAGAGATCCGTATCAGGGAGACTCGAAGCCGCAGGTGCATCCGCTGGTTGGACCGGAGTGTCGTTAGACAAGGCTGCATAGCGGTTGGAGAGGCCGATGTGCGGAGGAGAGGCAGCCTCATCCAAGCCTCTCTTAAAGCCACGGACCACCACTTCAGCCCAGGTTGACTGATGCTTCGGAGTCGAGCAGGATGAAAGCCTCGGAAGGCTAGAGGGGTCCCAAAACACGGTGTCCTAGATGTTAGCAGTTGCGCTAAGAGAAACAATCTGTTTGGCTTGTACTGAAGCTACATCCATAAAGCCAGTCAGCAGGGAATCTTTCTCTTTGAGTTCCTCTGAAAGTCATCGGATGTCTTCCATAAGGTTAGCAATCTTCTTGTTCGCTTTCTTGAGGAGTGTGCAGTCCTCATGGGGCAGAGTTATTTCGGCTAGCACAATCACCGGAGCTTTGTTGCGATCAGTAGCGTTGATCGCATTTTTACGGTCATCTAGCTTAAAAATCGGACAGTGTCGTTTATCTTCCCATTACTAGCTATATCAGCAGAGTAACAGATGTTTTAGACTTTGAGATTTGTCTTTTGCTCACTGATTTTCACAGGGAATACATGTTTAATGGTGCAAGTATGTTTTCACAAGTTTGTGTACATAAGTTTGCTCTCATGTGGGTTACCGTCTACTGTAAGCTCTAAGCCTTTAACTAAAAGGAGTTAATAAATAATTTTATGCTAAGAAACTGTTCCACAATTCTCCTCTTATGTAATTTCTTTTTCTCCAGCCATGTTTATTGCTGTGGTTTGTCGCTCCTTAAAACAGCAACGAAACGTGTGTATAAAAACAAACATAATGTCAACACACACAGAAACTCACCACACTGATGTCTACATTTGGAGGCTCTACTGATCCTCCCACTCTGAGCTCAATGGACTTCATGCTTTTCAGAGCTATCTGTAATACACACACATGCTTAGTGTACATTCATTCCTCTCTTGATTTCTTACGCATTTCTTACGCACACACACAGGAACAAATCATCTTTCCTACTCTCTCTCACCTCAATTCTGGTGTCAAACTTCATGACAGACTCGGGGTGGAAGTGGATCGTGAGCGCAGCCTGCCCCCCACTGGGCACCACGCCCTCAGGTGGGCTCACCATCATGCCTAGCAGGGGACAAACATCTAGCACCTGCCTCAAACAAGCAGAGACAGAGAGGAAAGAGAGACTGGCTATTTTTGTTCTTTGGTGTGTAAGTATCTGTGCAAAAACACGAGTGTGTTGACACACCTGGTAGTAGGCATGGTTCTGTCCAGTGTTGTGTAAGATGGCAGTTCTGACAGAAGGCATGTTGAGAGGCACTGATCCAAATATGACCCGTTTCTCTGCCAGCTGGACACTAGCGAGTCCAACCTGAGAAGGACAGACAGGAGAGGAAATTTTTTATCTTATTTATCACTGTTCTGTGACATTTAATCCAGTGTTGTATATTTACATACTCGCTCTCCCTAAACCTGCAGGGTCTAATTCTGCTCTAGACACTGATTTCCCTCATTTTACAAAATTGAAAGCCCCCAGAGAACATGTAGGTGTATGACTAAGTGAAGAGAGCGATAGTAATGACAGCAAGTGTGAGCGGGGGAGATTTTCCATTTAAAAAAGCATGAAAGTCATAAGCCCTACTTACAGCACAGCACTTCTTTTTGCTCACTGTGTTCTAGTCTACTGAGGCTGCTGTCAGAGGACAAATCAATATCTGCCTCTTTGATGGATCTGACCTCATATGATTGTTGAACATTGGTTAAAAAAACAAACAAATCGGTCAGCAGAGAGGCACTTTCTATTTGATCATTCATATTATTTCTCAGAACTGATCTTTTAGATTGTTGATTTGTTTTTTGCTATTACCATTAATTATAGCCATCTTGCAACAATCTCAAGGTGACATCCTTTATGTTTGGCCACTTATTCATAAATGTAACAAAAATACAGGATAATAATTTTTACAATAAGAAAATTGACCCAAAAATGCAAGGCAAATCCCTGATAGTTGTATAAAGGGTAATTTTGGTATTTTTAAACCTGGGTTGTAGAAGACTAGCAAGACTTTATTTCTTAACGTTACTACCACACAACAAACTCCTCTCTCCAACATTTCCACCGTCGTCTTCCTGCAACAACTCCCCTCACATTAGATTTCAGTTACTGGTTAAAAATAAAGGTAGTCATCGAGTCATTAGTAGGGATCCTTTCCATGATGTTGTTGGACACCTGGTATAACAGTCTCAGCCTGTCAGTGGTCACTTTTTGTGGATGTAATTTTGATGGGCAGTTTCCCAAAAGGAATACATTGCAGCCACTGCAGCCAGTTCGCAGCTGCCAGCAGAAGCCATCTACTGCACAGATTCCAAAGGTTTTTGTACCTACTAGCCATGTTGACACCAAAATATGTGAAAATATGGCCCAGGTTTAAAAACAGAAATTATCAATTTCCTTTAAGAACTGGGTTTTCAACGATGTTGCAAGAGTGAATGAAAAAGTTTCTGTGGATGTTTTGATACCTCAATACTACTACTGAAACCTGCAAACATATAACAGCAGATGTTCATGTGCATATTTGATACTCAAGTAGTTTGATTTTGGACCCTCGTGAACAAGCTAAGACAGATCAGCTCTGTGATTTTGGGATTTAGGAATAACAGAACAATTCAATTTACATTCTCTATCAACAGTAAAAACCTTACCAGCCTTCCCGACCACTAGCCTCTGTAAAGCTGGCTTCTGTCATTCACAAAAGCCAAATTAAGAATAGACTGCATATAAGAAGTAATAGAAAAAACCCGACAACACAACCCCAATCTGTTGCTGACATTGATTTTGCCTTCCTATGACGGGTTAGATGAAAAGTCCGCTTTCCTCTTTTAATTCAAGTCAGCAATATTAGAGTCAGCAGTGATTAAGTCTCTTAATTACATTATATGACTTCCAAAAAAAAAGTTTGAGTTCTACAGTTCATCTTCTGTTTATATATGCACAATCGCTCTCTTGGCTGAATTAACTTGACTTCACTAAATTCTGAATAAAGGCAGATAATGACAGTAGTTGCTGACAACACAAGTTGAATAAGTGGCTAGTATGCAGTTATGGTATGACCCAAATCAGCAACTGGTCCACAACACCAGTCATAACTTGCTTGCCTGTCCCACATCCACAAATGTCGCAAACCCCTGATATATTATAGTGGAGAAATGGATTATGGTGCAGGAGACCTTAGCAACACAGTGCAGGCGTTGTGTGTTGCCCTCATGGACTGAGAGATCAAAGTCTCCTTCTGGAGGGGAGGAGAAGGAGGGATGCCACACCACCTCACAGTCCAACTCCCTGTATGGCTCCACTGTACCTGGGGGGATGTTGTATAAGCTATAATTAACATAGGCAAATCCATTCATTAAAGTGCTTATTAACACAATACAGCTTCTTAAACACAAGCACAAAAGAGAGAGAGATGATGCAAAGTAACATTGTTGATATTAAGGCTTTGAAAATGCTAAACCAGGACCTCACACCCAGGGACATTCAACAAGAGTGTCACATTCAGCACCTGTAGCCGGTCGAATGGAGAAAAGGATGCCACTCTCTGTCACCACTGGTTTCCATGTGAACTCTGCGGCGTGGTTACGACGATTTCGAAGGGTAACTGAGCTCCTGTAACCTGACTGGGCAAGCAGAGTGGGGTTTGGGCGGAGCACCAGCAGAGAGGTCGAAAGCTCCAGAGCCAAGGGGACAACCTCAGCCTGGACCAGTATTTGACCAGGGTGTTGCTGGTTCACAGAGAAGGATACAGGTCTGAGGGAAAGAAGTATGCCATATTGCACTTGAACTGCAATAATTAATTTTCATGTAATAAAAGTGTGTTGAGCTGCTTCCCCCACCGACCTGTAGAAGTGACCCAGCGTGTTGCTTTGAAACGTCAGGGGTAGGGTGTTGTGGGAGTGGGGTGGCAAGACGTGGGAGAGGGGTGAGGAGCCTTGTAGCTCAGGGCAGTCAACCTCCAGCTGCACCCAGACGAACATTGACAGATGATTTATCAGCTTCAGCTTCTGAACACACACTGACTGCACACACACTTCGCCAAAGTTCACTAACAATGGACCTGTTGAGAAAAGAGGGAGTTTTTTTTCCTGGCTTTCCAACATGAAAACAACTCTTCTTCACTTAGCTATATCAATGATTTGACAACATGATCAACGATCACTGTGATAAATTTAGAGGGCAAAAATTTTATAAGTAGAAAGAACAACACAGACAAACAGACTACTACTTGTACTAAGCGTTTTGCTGAATCTCACAGTTTTACTAAAGCTATTTTTAGAAACAATGACTCTAGCACTTCTGGACTGAATCTCTAACCTATGTCAACTTGGTAGAGCTCCTGAGCTGTCAGAGTCCTGTTGCAGTCTGCCATCTCCTGTCTAGTAGAGGGAACTGCATTCATTATCTCTGAGGCCTGGAGAGAATGCAAGAGATGGAGAGAAAACGAAATGAATGTTGCACTCTGTTACAATTTAAATGAACTAAAATGTGTTTTTTGGGACCACATTTGATCTGACCTTCTGGGTGATGGATGTCCTGTCTTGGGGGAGGCTGGATTTGGTTGCTAGAAGAGCATAGCTGTTATTTGGCTTGGCCTCTGAGATCTCACTGCTCTCCAGGTCGCTGATGCAAAGTGTAGGGGGAACAAGCCCTTGAGAGGGAACAATCCCAATATCCACATCGTTTTCCACTGTTTCCTGTGGTCTAAAAACCAAGAACAAAGTCCAACATCTCTATTTCCAACCGTTTACTGTGAGACAAATAAAACTTGAAATGGGCCTTTATCTCAGTAATCACAACATTCATAGGAAAGCTTACTTCTCTTTGATTTTCTGTAGCCGAGTCTGTCTGAGCTGTTTGATGAAGTCTATGTAAATCTGTTGATTCTGCTGTTTCTGCTCCTCTTCTTCCTCAGTGAGAGCATAGTTTGTGTCCAAATAGTGATAGCGGTGTACACCAGTGAAGATGGTCCTGAGTAAAATAAACACAGGAAGGAGGATATTCAAATCTTAACAATGTAGGATACCAAAGACATAACAACAGAATTAACGGATTTTTAATATTTCAATCCTAAGAAAAACATGACTTCAGACTAGAGCCCGACAGATATGGGTTTTTGGGGGGCGATGCTGATGCCGATATCAAAGTGAAAAAGAGCCGATTTATGAGCCGATATTTTGATTTTAAGAATGATTTGGATAGTAGACCCCTTATATACTATATAAAGTACACTTAGAACAGGCCGATATTGAAAGCTGGTATGTATGTGGGCTATAAAACCTTTTCCTAAATGGATTATGTTAATAAAATAGACTACAGTCTCAAAAAGTGAACATGTAAACAATTGCACATCAATAAATATTTGCTACTGGAAGGTGCAACTTTTTCAGCCATCTGTAAACAGAGAGAGTGAGAGAGAATAAGCAGTGTATTTCACTTTACATGTAATCTGCCATAATTTCAATGTAGCACATTCACATCTAGTACATCCCTTTACCAGCACTCTTTAATTCTAACCAAAGCTATGTGAAACCACTTAACCACCATCGGTATAAATCATGCCGTCTAGGATACAGTGAGCTGCTGTTGAATGCATCTAATACTACCCAACTACCGTAACATTAAACTGTTGTGAGCCGGGATGGAAGCCAGGAGATGGTAGTGAAAAGCGAGAGGGTTAGCAAGTCATGAATGTTTTCAGGAGAGGAGAAGTGACTGAGTCTGTTTTTATTGTAATTATTAAAGTCATGTAATTAACTTGACAAAAGACCGGCTCACCGCTCGCACAGCGTGTTTTTAAATGATGCGTGTATGCTCTGGTAAACTCCGGTCAGCTGATTGTTTTCTTCTGTGGTTTTTGTGGTCCCCTGTAGTTAACAGGGGAGCTCCAGCTGGTCACCCTCTGGTGGGCAAACTACGTAACACCCATGACATGAGTGAAGGATCTGACTCTAGGTTTCTTTTTTAATAGTCATATGTCTGCTGTTTTAAACGGCCAATGCAGATTAAATGCAATTAGCTCATATCGTCCGATAATATCTGCCGGCTGATACATCGGTCGGGCTCTACTTCAGACATAAACAAACATGGAGGCAGACGGTCATCGTCAGCTAGATGCACTTGTGTGTGAAATGTTTTGCAGAGAAAAACAAAAAAGACAGTAATACTGTGGATGAACTTGAGGCTGAGAAGACATTTATAGCGGAAGCAAATACAGAACACGTTGGTGATGCTTCCGTCAGCTCACTCTCATCTGATCGGACACTCTTGGATTTCAAAATCAGGAGGCCTCCATGCCAGTCAGTGACCTTAAGATTATGTCTGTAAACCTATAACGGTGAATCGGACCAAATATCCTACCAATAATCCTCTAGTGCCGTGGTTCTTAACTTGGGGGTCGAGACCCTCCTGGGGGTCGCAACCCGGTCCCATGGGGGTAGCAAGAATGCTACTATAGAAAAAATAACTTAGAAATAACTAGACGGAATACAGTTGTGAATGGAATCTCATGTCGCAAAATATTTTCAACCTCAAAAAGGGGTCGGACTGTCAGAAAGGTTAAGAACCTCTGCTCTAGTGTGCGGCCAGCATAAGTGTTTTTAACACTATATTCTTCAAAATGTAATATGTCTATTTCATACTTTTGGGAAATTTGGATTTGTTGTTTCTTCAAACACACTTCATTTGACGAATTGCCTGTCATTATGCGCCGAGACTGTGAAATAGTGTGTTTATTTAACCCCTACCTGTACTGTCTTTCTGGAGAGGCAGGCCTGATGCTCGCGGCTCGGTCATTAGGAAAAGCCAGGAACTCCTCCCCCTCTGTGTTCTGACTCCTCTCGCTGCGATGTTCGTGAATTCGTGTTTTGTCAGCGCTGAGGACAGCAGCACGTGCCATCACACGGCAGCAAGCCAGTTCACTGTACCGAACGTGAGGCTGTGATCCGGTTGGATTGGTCACTGCTGGAGTGATGCCTGTGAAGCAGACAATTAGAGCAGGACAGGCAGGCGTATCAAAATCATCTAATGAGAGTACAAGTTGGTGATATTCAATACATTTCTTCATGACAATAAATCCAATGAAAAGATCCAAACCATCACAGAAAGTACTACACATGCTGTAGTGTATTTTCACTCAATCCCACATACACCATCCTGCTGCTACAAATACTCACTGAAGCACCAACTGCGAATTAATCCACCGCTGAAAACAGCCGCCAATAAATGCACTATTTTCTCCTTTTTGTTTGCTAAAAAGCTGCGTGCTCATCTGTTTTAGGAAATTACTGAATCTTCTCTTTAATGAAACTATCAGGGCTTAAATCAAGAAAATTTTCTGGACCTGAAGTGTGTTCGGGGGTTACAACAAAGGAAAGGTAAGGGACAAGAGCGTAACTCTGTGTTGAAAACTGATGGGGACATAATGGCTTAGATTAGGGGTGTGATGATAAACATAGCTAACGAGACATGAGGAATTACAATACTGGGTTTGCAAGAACAAGACGAGAAAATAATTATACACTGTTCAATCTGGGGGTCTGAAAAATTTGAGTATTAAACACTTCATTTCCTGCATTCTGGTAAAACCTTTTTTGCTACCACCTATAATCAGTGCTTGAAGTGGGAAAAGGGCTGGGCGATATGGGCAGAAACGTTATCACAATGAATAATTTTTTGCTCCTGAGTGAAAGTTGGAGAAACCAGACATTTAAAAACAGTGGACACTTCACAAATCTAAGTGCAGAACATTCAAAAAAATTATCACAAAATGTGTTTGTTTCAACAAATATGCATGAGTAACATTAGGTCTAATCTGTCTTCAGTCCCTTTTCCTCAACATAAATACCTAAAAAGAAATATAAGTGCCGATTAGTCTATGATTCAAATGAATTAAATTAAACATTTATTTGTTGGATTGTTATTAAGGAAAATTATATTAAGATAATTATTATTGTTTTATTGTCCAGCCCTGCTGGTACTCCCCATTTACATGTTGCCTTGTTTATCAGCCAGTCTCAGGGCTAATGTTATTGTATTCATTATAATTTCATATAGCCTACTATTTATCTCACCACAAGTAAAATATTAGTTCCAGTTGGACAGCAGTTTCATTTGTGTGGGTTGTTTCCATTCATTAAATTCGTGTAAGAAAAATTATCTACATGGTGGACAGTTTCTAATTAGTTAATGCTAAGTACTACTCGTCAATAATCATTCATGCAGAACAACAAGTTCAACATTTCTAAAGTTTGCTGTAGCGCATTAAACTTTTTTTGGAGTTACGTCACCTCCAGGCTGTGATTAGTTAGTTCACGAAAGGCTTACTTGATGAGCAACTTTACGCACGCGACTGCATGGAAGGCACCTGAGCTTCAGTTTCTACCGAGAGATTAGGAGGCTGGGAACAGGCGTCACATATTGTCCAGAGAACCTGATATGGAAAGGACACCAGTACCCAAGAAAACTACACCAAAGAGTAAAAAGAAGAAGTACTGGTACCGGTGACCAACTTTAAGCACTGCTAATAATCAAAATTGACACCACTTACCAGAAAAGCCATAGCCTATCGATGGATTACATTCCGACAAAACTGGCCTTGTTATGTTGGCAAAGGTCCTAACGATCCAATCCAGTAAAATATTTAGTCCACAATGCATTTTCAATCAATAAATCAATAAATACAAAGGGAGTGTTACATCGTTTAACTACAGTTAGCATGTAAACAAAAACAGGACACCTTGACCTTTTGAGTGACACCTTAATTGACCCAATAGAAAATTCAATGCCCTGTCCACGGCCTACAACAGCCAATGAGTGTCCACGTAGTCAGGAAGTGCCAGCCCCCTTCTTTTGTGCATACACCAACAGAGATTGTCCTGAGGACTGGCGCTTCACACAGCTATCAAGCGACTGTTAAAAAAATACGCAAGAATATTTTCCACGTACATTTATATATTGTCGAATATGAAAACGCCCCGCTCCGGAATTCCGGCACTGTGCCGGAGAACTTTAAGGCCTGAACTATACATATGTGAGCTGTAAAGCTTTGTTTAAAAAACAGCTTGGGGCTGACAGCCACAGACAGGGTAGGTGAAAGTCAAAGTATATTGAGTAGTATTGAGGCAACTAGCTAGGGCCGGGGTGATTCATAGATGTAATCCTTTACGGAAATGTGGATTGGCACAACGTGCATCAGCGTGAAAACTACATTTGCCTGTGATGATCTTACTGCATACTACTAAGGGAAGTTCAGGGAAATAGATTACATGTGTTCAAACTGATCTATGTGTCACAGCAATCCTTTTGAATTTGAGGTCCAGTATTTTTCTGATCAGGCATTTGACAATTAGGGTCTGTCTATTATTAATATCATAACACAGCAGTGACTTTAATTAATTATCAAAATAGTTGGCAATGAATTTAACAGTTGACAACTAATCGATTAATCGTTGCAGCTGTATGAGAGACACTCACGTTGTTGGTTTTGCTCTTTTCATGGGATTAAACCTTTGATACTCACCAGGATTTAGTTTAGGTACAGGGTGTGTGGTCTCACTTCTGCAGACAGCAGACAGGTGTAGAGTGATGGTGTGGAAGCTGCAAAGCTCAAGTCCAGTAACATCTTCAGCTGTGTTGCCACCCCTCCGAAGAACATTACCTAAGACGTCTACCTTCTGACACACCTGGAAGCTCCCTTGTTGCCGTGCAGTGAAAGACAAAATTACATCCTGGGGAACACAACAGAGGAAAAAAGTGCCCACGTTCACTGCTCCACTTGGATCTATAAATAAATAACTGAATCAAACACTGTCCTTACCTGACATTGCCCGGGGGAGATCACGCCAGTGGAGGGCTTAGCAGTGAAATGTGCTAACTTGCGGAAGCAGAAATTGATGGGAAGTTGAGGGCAGAGATTCTGCAGCACACAGAGCAGGTCTACACGTTGGCCCATCTCACAGGTGAGGAAATTAAACCTTCGAGAGGGACTAGGCACCAGAGACACAGGCAGCCCAGAGCCTGTCACTGCCAGCTCCACACTACTGTTACCTAAAGAGACGAAGATGGTCTGTTAATTATCTTTTAATGACTCGATAAATATTCTGCTCATAAAGTTATATGAACTGAATTGCTGCCTCAAAACAGTCCTCTGAGGGTTTTTGCTGTATTGTATTTTGTAATGTGAAATCTGTGTGTGTGTGTGTGTGTTGAGAGTACCTTTATGGTGAGTGAAGCCATATCTGCTTCCCACTGACTCAAACAGGAGGTAAAGACAGTAGTCTTGACGGCTGGTTGAGTAATCACGCTTCTTATCTTCATTAGTACTGCAAGAAACAAGTTAACGTCATTTGTGGGTTAAGATAAATTTAAACCACTCACGCAGTACTGCCGTCAACTCCTCGTTAGTATAGTGGTGAGTATCCCCGCCTGTCACGCGGGAGACCGGGGTTCGATTCCCCGACGGGGAGAAACACATTTTTCTTACACCCTTCCCTGTAACATATATCTTTTACATTCATCTTAACATCAACTCTATAAAGACATTTTACCATACAATAAATTCACACAACATTAACTCAATGACATTGTTAAATAGCAATGATTTTCATATTAAAGTTTGGGTTACTGGGTACTATTTGACATGAAATTCAGAAAAACTATTTTTGTTGTTTTCAGATTCACACATTCACAGATAATTTACCTCTTGCAGATGGGGCTGAAGCGTACTGCCACGGTGGTTTTGTCATACGGTCCCAGTCTACCCTGTTTGGGGACACACGCCAAGACCTGAGAGACGTCTTGGGTGGCTGTGCTGCACCTCTCCATTCTTTCCAGCAGGGCAGCGCCGGTGCTCTTCTGGAGATCTGTTCCCTGCACGGCCACCACAGTAAAAGCCTTGTTTAATTTTCATTCAGTTTAGTAGTTTCCTTCCTGTTTACCCCTCCTTCTCACCTAATGACAAGTCTATCTGCGTCTCTACTTGTCCACCTCCCAAACTAATAACTTAAACAGCTTTTTTTTACTTTCTATCAGCCCGTCTTTAACATCTGTCCCTAACTATTTCCTCGCCTGAACACAAACATGCCTATACACAAATTAGCAGCCATGCCTACTTAACCTAGGGGCATCACTCACCACCTCAGTCTCAGCTGCAGTATCCTGGAGCAGACAGACCCAGTCACATGCCTGCGGTGCATTGTTTCTCAGAACCACATTCTCCACACGGGACGTCCCAAAGTATGCAGGTCCAAACCACAGACAGGACAGTGGAGCTCCCTGTAAAATGATGGGGTTATTTTCATCAACAGAAAGCAGAATAAGCACAAACGTCTTCACATGAACACCATTTAGACAGGGAAAGATGAACGTCAATATATGAATTCCACTGAAATACCTGCCGGTCAAAGACCTCAAGGCGTTGGTCCACCACTTCAGCCCTGATACTGAAAACTACAGGAGAGCGATTCTGGAGTTTCACCCTGGGACAGAAGTAGGGTGAGGTTCATGTACAGTACTACTACAAACAACTAATTAAAAGGTTAATTTTCCATTGAGATGTACATTTTGGCAAGCTTCCATACAAATCTTAAAACCTAAATAAATGTGATTTGTATTTAGTGGCCAATCCATTTAATATAATGCTATCTGTGTTCACAGTTTTCTTGGACTGGTGTCATAAAATCTTTCTTACAGAGCCTTCTCATCTATCTGTATGGGTCTGTCTGTACGCAGTTCCACTTTCAGCCACTGGGTGGCGCCAGCTGCTACAACTCCAACGCAGGGTGAGAGTCTGACTGAGGGGTCTCCGTTGTATTGCACCTGGAACACACCTTCAACACATATATGCATATGCATATTCTTATTGGGTCAATTGACTAAATCATCCTTATTGCTTAAGAACATTTTTATAATAAATAGGATTTCTACCACTTTTGTAAATGATTACATTTTCTGGTAGAGAGAGGTTTTCAGACGATACATATAATTTACACAAGCAGCTAGGTCATGAAGTCTGTGTTTTTGAAAATGTATATGTCACCCCCTTTTGAGCAACTTAGATAAAGTGCCTTCAGGCCAAGAAAAACGTGCTTGATTTACCTGGTGCTGATCCCTGATTGGTTATATGGTGATGTTTGCTGATCACCTGACTGCTAGCAGCAACACAGCCAAAGTCTAGTACTGAGTCCATTAGGAGGGAACAGCCCCTGGGAAACCTAGAGGAGAACATAAACAAAGATAGTTAAAATGTCAAAACATGTGTGGAGATATATGCATGAACATCAATAATTGACTATGACACAGGCAGTGTGTTTGGTACATACACATTAGAGACCGACCAATAAATCTGTGTATATTAGCAGATATTAACGGCTAATATTGCCTAATTGCGATACATCAGTATTAAAGTAGTAAAAAATAAGACAGATCCTTCAATCATGTGAAGAGTATTATTGTACGGTTTGTTCACCAGAGGGCACTCGGCAAACTCCCCCGTTGGCAACACACAAATTCACCACAAAACACTGCAATCAGCAGACATAATCAGATGTACTTTTGTTTAAAGTACAATAAAAAAAACTTATTTCTATTATTATTATTTTTAAGAATAATGATTACTCAAATGAATTGTAATAACTACCGTAAAACTTTGATTAATAGCCCGGGCTTTTATTTGTTAAAGTCACTGAATTGACCCTGCCTATGTTTGGGACAGGCGTCCGTATGGGACAGGCCTTTCACTCCTCTTGCACAAAACTGAAATAGGCTCCTATGAAACAGTTTATATATTTCAAACAGAATATTATTAAAAATTATTAAATAATATCAAATACACGTCAGGACTTCACATAACAGTACTCACAACTTGGATTAACTTTTATAAAAAGCTGTTTAGATTCTTTTGATCGTTGGACCCTTACAGACTAAAGGAATCACAATCAAGGAACGGACACATTCGGACTTAACGAGCTCTTCAGAGAGTCTGCACTTCTTTTTTTTCATCTCTTGTAGCCTACCATGCCGGTTACACCAGTAAATCTATATGAATTAGACTTTGGGGCTTGTTGTTTCTGTTAAATTAACTGAATGATTGAATTATGGAGAATCTAACCGATCTAACGATGTGTAGTAAATCCATATTGATCATAAGTATTAACGATAATATTTGTATTAACGATCTAAGCGGGCGACCAAGCGGGGTTATATACATCCAAAGAACTTCTATAAAAACCAGACCAGGCATTTAATGGAGACCTGCGTTTATTTGTCAAAATGCGTTCCCACACCAGGCCAGTAAACGGGGTAGGCGGCTATTTGGGACTCGACTATATACTGAAGTTTTACGGTACACATATTAAATGTTAGGGATAAGCTTTGTTTATGTTATGTGTTTCTGAAAAGTAGAGAAAAAACAATATCGGCCTCAAATATCAAAATCGGTATCATTCTTAAAAATCCCATATCAGTCTAATATCTAATATCTAATATATGTTAATACATAATTTATACAGTATATATACAGAGGTAGTAACGAGTTTCATTTACTCCATTACATGTACTCAAGCAACTTTTTGAGCAAATTGTACTTGTCACAGTCAGTGTAGTTTTAAGGCATCATACTTTACTTGAGTTACTTTTACTCTGTTACATTTAGATACATTCAAATAGACTGATACAATGTTTCAATCACTGATGAAAAAAGTGAAAATACTTAACGGGCAACAACGTATGTAACATCACAGCATTATCTCTTAAATTCATTTGTTTGCCTAATCATAATTTATTATAGGAGACAACAAGAAAAGAATATATATTTTAAAAACAATCTTTACTCATTGGCGTACTTATAATATTAATGTAGTATTTTGTGATCACACTTGATCAATACACACTGGGAATATTGTCCTTGTATATATGTGGCAGGTTATCTAATCAGGAGATGATGACACAAATAAATACACGTGGGTAAGTGTATGTATGCTTCTTTACCAGTGTTATTCGCTACTCAAGTAATTTTTTCCGAAAATACTTTTGTACTCATGTTTTGATGACCATTTTTACTTCTAATTGAGTCCTTGATTTTGCAAAGTAACAGTCATTTTATTTGAGTACATTCATTGGCTACTCTACCCACTTCTATATAGACCATATTTCTAGCCTTCTTACCCCAGCAGTGGTATTTTGATGGTTTCCACAGCGTCTATATGAATCAGAAGGCTCTCTCTGACCTCCTTCTCTTCCTCTGGAGTGAACTCCAGCACACCGCTTACAGACAGACCAGGAGCCAGCGCCTTGGCTGAGCTAGATATGGTGAACTTGAACAACTGCAGGGAAAAGAAATACAAAAAGAAGAAGAGGGAGAAAGGGGCATCAACTGAACATGAAGAAAGAACTGCTTTGATCGTAAAGTTAACATTTTAATTAAAATACCAAACATTTAGAAACACATTTTAAAAGATATCCAACGAAGGTTAAAATGAAGGGCAACTGGACTTGGTTGAAGCTACTGGAAGACGTTTCGTCCCTTATCCAAAGGACTTCTTCAGTTCTGACTGACTGGCAGGGAAACTCAGCTATTTAACCTCAGTGGGGTCGTTATCTCGGGTCTTCGATACCGCTGGTTCGTTAGTGTTCCTTGTTGCTGTGACGACAGTCGTTACAGTCGTTGAGACTACCTGTGGCCAAGACTGAACGACCATCGTTGGTATCTTCACCTGAGGCCAATAGGTTACGTTTGTTGAGTTTCCTGGGAAGTGATGAAAGGACAGCATTGTAAGTGGGGGATAAGTGGTGGCATAGACCCCCTCCTCTGTTCAATGACGGTTTCTCAACCCTGGTGTAGATGGCTTCCTTGACACTTCTTTCAAACCATCCATCTTCTCTGTTAACGACCCCACTGAGGTTAAATAGCTGAGTTTCCCTGCCAGTCAGTCAGAACTGAAGAAGTCCTTTGGATAAGGGACGAAACGTCTTCCAGTAGCTTCAACCAAGTCCAGTTGCCCTTCATTTTAACCTTCGTTGGATAACTATGACCTGGATGACTGAGAATCTTCATAGACACATTTTAAAAGAGACATGCTCAAAACACAGTAATGTTAATGTGCCTTTATTTGTTTTAATCTCGATGATTACGGCTTACAGCTCATTAACAGTCCAGTTCTGTTTCTCCTTAGCCCAGGTAATACTCTTCTGAGATTGTCTCTGGTTCAGGAGAGGCTTGACACTAGGAACGTGACACTTTTAGCTCATTTCGTGGGACATGTCTGCCTGGTGGCTCTTGATGCATTGACTCCAGCCTCAGTCCACTCCTTGTGAAGCTCCCCCAAGTTCTTGAATCAGCTTTGCGTGACAATCCTGTCAAGGTTTTGGTCATCCCTGTTGCTTGTGCACCTTTTCCTACCACACTTTAACCTTCCAGTAAACTTTTCATGAATATGCTTGGATCCAGCACTCTGAGAACAGCCAGTCATAAGTCTTCCCCATGATTGTGGTTGTGTTTACTGAAACAGACTGAGAGAGTAAAGCCTCTTCTCAGGTCGACATTTAATTCTTTATTCTAATATTCTGACATATGGATTTTTGATTTCCATGAGCTGTAAGACCTAATCGTCAAGATTAAAACAAAAAAAGGCCTGAAATATTTCACTTTATATGTATTAATAAATCTAAAATACATAACGTTTGACGGTAAGATAAAGCTAACGCAATATTTTGCACGAGGTGTGGTAGCTAAGTTAGCAAGATTCTTATTTAGTTAGCTAAGTTTTTTTTTTTGTCTTTAATTTTAATATGGTCGGTTGTCCATAGTTTACGTTACCTTTGACGCGGGCTTTTTAATTATTATTTTCTTCGATGTTTTCCCAACATTTGTTGCCGTGACTGTGGTCCTGTAAACCTGCCCGACTGTCACATCGTTGAACTCGACACACGGTGGGTCAATTTGAACACAACTTCCAGCCATGGTGGGACTTTCTAGCAACTAACGTTAATTACTTACAGACGCCAAACGCCACAAGTACACTTCTTCTCTCATTAAAACGTAATTTATCGCACCACTGTGTCGACTTGTTGCTTCACATACCGACAGTCAGTGTTGTCAAAACGTTGGAGACTAAACAACTACGGCTCAGGTGGTTTCTAGGGCAACACCAGCAGTTGCGCTCGTTTTACAGCCTCGGGCGGTCCAGGTGGACGGTGACACCGGACTTACTGCAAACATTTACACACAGCCGAAGTATCTCGTATATTTCAGAAGAATGTTATATTTTAGATACCATCAGTGTTGGACAGTAAATATAACTCAAGTACTGTACTTAAGTACAAATTTCAGGTACCTGTACTTCACTTGAGTAGCCTACATTCTTTTCATGCCACTTTCTACTTCTACTCCATTACATCTCAGAGGGAAATAATGTAACGTTACTTTTTACTTCACTACATTTATGATAGACATTTTTTCATGAGAAAACATTTCGTGGTTCCAGCTTAACAAATGTTAAGATTTGCTGCTTTTCTTTTTAATTATTTTAATAACTAAAATGTAATGTTGGCTGGACAAAACAAAGTATTATGAAATTGTCACTTTGGGGTCTGGGTAACTGTGATGGCATAATAAATACTAGTATAAAAGTCACATAAGACATTTTCTGCAATGACTACTTTTACTTTTAATACTAAGTACGTTTTCCTGATTACACTCTCTACTTTTACTGAAGTAACATTTTCAATGCAGTACTTAACTGTTAATAGACTACGTTTACAGTGTGGTAGTAGTACTTTTGCTTAAGTAAATTATCTAAATACTTGGTCCACCACTGGATACTGTAAATATCAAGACAGACTATCATTATTAAAAAAGCTGAGATGGTTTCTAAAAATAATCTCATCCCACTTCTTTCTCAGTGTTTTGCCATTGCATGAAGTTATAATGGGGTGTAATAACAATAATTTTCTACATTGATTGATAAATCAATCTAACATCTTTTGGCATCTTAAGTGAATGTTTTATGTTGCCACTACTCATAATGTGTTATTGCAATATAATAAAGTGCTATAAATACTTAAGCTGCAACAATAATCAATTGGTTTTCAACTATTACATTATTGGCCTACTAATTTAATAATCAATTACTCAGTTGGAAAGTTTATTAAAGAAACTGTGTGTGATTCCAGCTTCTTAGACGTAAATATTTTCTGGTTTCTTTACTCCTCTATGACGGTAAAGTGAATATCTTTGGGTTGTGGACAAAACAAGACATTTGAGGACGTGTTATTGGGCTTTGGGAAACAGTGATTGACATTTATGACAATTTTTTGACCAAACAAATGAAATCAACAAAATAATTAAAATAATGCGACCCTGTAAGCAGGATAATCGGTTGACGATTGATAGATGGATACTTAAAATAACAGATTAATCAGTTGCAGCCCTAGTAAAATACACATTATGAATTTCCTTTAACTTTCTAACTCAACACAAACTTTCATCTTAAAAGTTAAACAAACACAAATGTAAAATTATCAGTAGGGTTTATGTGATTTATTTCACACAAAAAAATATGATTGTCTTTCTTTAGTACACATCATGTTACAAAAATATAACTGGATATCGTTAGTCAAACTAACATCACGTAAAAAAAAAATAAGAAAGTATTAACATCGATGTGAAAGACAAGTGTCTCACTTTTATATTACAAAAGACGATTAATCCATTCCAGTCATTTGCTCAGATTTCACATAACAGCACCAGGGCTCTCCCAAATTTCATCATCATAAATATTAGAGGTAGAGGTGATATTATCTGTGGCTGTCACATCAAGGCAGTCTTTAGCAGTTGTCTCTTCTGCATTTTGGATGACATCCCCTGCACCCTGCTCAGCACTTGACGCTGGAAGATCCCTGGATGGTTCTGCGCATGCTTGATCACTCTGCAAACCCTGGTCCTCACAGTTTTGTGGCAAGTTCTTGTCAAGCTCAACAGCTTTACTTGTTTCTTCTGCTAAACTTCTCTCTCCACCAACCTCCTGAAGCACAGCCCTGGCTTCCTCTGATGGTCTTTTCTGCCTCCCTTCATCCTCTCCAGCTGGGATAGCTGGTCTGGCTTTATCCTTTACCCCCTCCTGAGGTCTGTTCTCCAGGCCGAAGAAGTTGTTTCGGACAACAAAGCGCACACACTGCAGGAGGACATTCCTCTCGTGGCGGACGTCTGGGGCCAGTAACTAAACAGAGTGAAAGAAAATAGAGAAGTTCTTGAGGGCTGAGAACTTTAAATATAAATTTACTCTCTCTCTATTTAAAATCCAGTGAAAGATGCATGTATAATCTCAGATGTCTCCTCACCATCTCAAGTAGAGTGGGACGGCGTGTCTGCGGTGTATCTTGGTGTCCTCCTCTACCACCCCTGCCTCCTCTTCTCCCTCTTCCTCTTCTGCTGTGAGGTGTCTGAAGGGCACAGTCAGGCTGGGGCCCTTTGTGAGTCTCTGTACCCTGTGAAGAGGTTCCCCAGCCCCCAGAGGGTCTTCTGTCCTGGGAGTTTGCTGGTATTGTGTTTAGGAGAGCCTGGTTTTCCCGCAAAAGGTCTTTGGCTCTCTGAATGGGGGTGGCTGAAACACAAGGAAAAGGATAATGGGAACATAAGTGATGGAATATTTAAGTGTCTTTTCCTGTGAGAAGCTATTTCCCAATGTGTATGTTATCTATCAACGTGTCCAAACTTACTCTGTCAAATTAGTGTATCTTGTGTATATTTTTGAAAGTATGTTGTGAATGTGTATTTTTAACAGAACCCTAAATATAATACAGCCTGTATTGGGTCAAATTTATTTACTTAATTAATTACTTACCTGAAATATAGATAAATACACATGAACAAAAAGTGTCACTGTTGTTATTTATTTAGAGACTGAATATGTTTTTATTTAATTTATAATAATAATTATTTTAAGTTTTTACCCTGTCATAGATATTTATTTATATATTGATTTATATATCGATTGCACTGAATGTCTCTTAACTTGCCAGGTGTTTTTGAATGCAAAATATTATGTACTTTCATAAAAAGGATGATAAAAGGATCTTATTTCAAAATTTATGTCCAGTTTCCAAACTTTTCATGACCTGGACATTATTGAAGAATATTCCCCCTACTTTGTAGGTTTGTAGCTTTGTAAGATTTTTAAGTCCTCCAATGTGGTGATTAATAAAAACATTTAGCAAAGACACTTCTCCACTTACAGCAAAAAGGAGTCAACTTCACAAGTGAAATAAAAGATTTCACACTGATAAATGCAGCCAGTAGTGCCAGAACTAAAATATGGCTGGTGGTGTGCCACTGTTGTTTTAACGTTATATCCCCGATACCGTAGTATGTTAGTATGCTCCCGCTGTTCTGCTGGTTTATGGAGCTTTCAAATGTGCCACTTGTGTTTAACTGCCATTCACCGTGTCTTACTAGAACACGCCATGTGCCACTCATGTTTTATCTCCAATCCAATCTTCAACTGTTGGTGGCATCCTGCTTTAACAAGCGTTATGTTACTGTTCTATTGGCAGATGGTGCAGACGTCCACATACTCTTCCCCACTGGCTTATGATAATTCTGACTGACATATACCACTGCTATGGTAATGGTATTAGTAATAGACAGCATAATCACTGATGTTCCATGGAAATAAACCATTTCTTAAATTAAGAAAAGATATTTTGACTGACTACCTGTTGGCGTTTACTTAGTCAAGGCCAAGCTTTCTAGCCTTACTAGCATAGCTTCCAGAAAGGTTCATTTGTATGTTCATGGCATACGCTCCCAGTTTAAGGGCCTTTTCAGACAGGGACGCTGCGCCTGCAAACTCGCTTGGATCTGCGGGGCCGCACTGTGCTCCTCATGTAAACAGACAGGCAGATAAGTGCTCTTCTTCTTCTTCTTCTATGCACCGTGTTCCTGCAGGTACAGCTGTATTTCTTCAGAAGCTATAGAAACATTTTTTAAATATATCTTCTAGAAATTATTGAAAGACGATAATAAAACTACTAACTTTCAAAATCAGTTCAGTTAGTAAGTTTACACGTGATGCTAACTAGTTCTCTGTGAGTTAGTTAGGTCTAGTGTTTAGTTCAGATATGGACCGGCGTCAAAGACTGGTGCTCAAGCTGTGTAAAGCTATTTGATTATTTTAAATGAATAAGAGAAAGCAGTGACAGTCATTGTCTGTTTATGTTCCAATAATTGTTAAGGAAACAGTTACATAATTCAGGAAACTCACAAACAGCAAGGATCAGTCTGTTGTCCATTGATGCACTGTGCTTCGCTTAGAAAAAGGTTCAAGAAAATTCAACTCTGGCAGCTGGCCGGGGTGTGCATGAGACTAGCACCACAACAGTTTCACGGGTTCACACCCCCTAGTGGTGGCTCCACTGGTCAGATTGCCTGCTCATCCCTACCTGCTTGCCTCTCATTAAAAATATAAAACTACTGGATGGATTGCTATGAAATGACATTCCCATCGGCCTCAGCTATACTTGTGTTTTGTGCTAATAAGCAAATGTTAGCATGCTAACAACCTAAAGTAAGATGATGATTATGGTAAACATTAAAAACTAGCATTGTCACTGTAACAATAATGTGCCAGCGTTAGCCTTTAGCTCAAAGTGCGGTTGTAGACTATTACTAATTGTTAGCAATGGCATATATCAGTTCGAAACATCATATACCGGTGGGGAGTGGTACCCACAGATCGTCCCGATATATGTAGCACCCATGTACATTCTGTTCTGTAGCAGGTGGAGGATGGTGACAAACTTACACTCTGGTCCCTCATCACTTTCACTCTCGCTCATGGAGCCGTAATTAGCCACCAGGGAGCCCAGAGCTGAGCTCATCTGTTTGGGAGCCACAACCAGACCACTAGCCCCAGACTCAGCAGCCGGGTCCTCTCTGTCAGAATCTGGAAACACATGAGAAACATATTGCAATACAAATCAGTTTCCTAAAACACAGGAGTAGTTTGTCCCAGATGTCAGTATGTGACTTTATTTTCAAGGGGTCGTTTACAGTCTTTGAATACTGTGACCCATCACTCACCATGGTCACTGCTGGCCAGCGCTCCCAGTGGATCCCCGTCACTGCAGGGCTGGGTGAGGAATGGTGGTCTCCCTGTAGCGTTGCTGTCTGATGGGTGAGGGCCTCGCTGGTGTCGCCCACGAAACCCTCTGTTACCCCAGCCACGACCTCGTCCTCTGCCTCTCATTCGTCTGTAAATAAAATATTAAAGTCTACATTTAGATCAGATGTCATGTCAAAGCAAATGAGTGCAAATTATTATTGTTCATGGTTGCAACAGAAGGGAAAA